TCCTCCATTAATCCAGATCTACCCTTTTTACAGGAAAACCGCATTATCATGGGAGGTTGGGGGGTGGGGAACAAGATTAACCATAATGCCCTGCTTTCATCCCATCCTCTTGTCCAGCACTGATGCCTAAAAACCTTTTCCTCTTCCAGTCTCCTCCACCTCCTATGAAAGTCAGAGGGCACAGCTGCCAGAGTAGTGATTGCTACTAAATGGAAATATGGAAATCTCAGGACATACCAACAAAGGAAGAGTGGATTTGTAAATTAAGTGAGTATATAGAATTGGCAAAATTAACTTCAATTATAAGATATCAATCAAATCAAAAGTTAAGAATGGAGTGGAAGTATTTCGAAGATTATATGTCAAAATATTGTTCTAAAAATTACATGTTAATAGGCTTAGAATAAAAAATGTAAGCAATAACAAAATAAAGAAAGAAAGAAGGAAAAATCAGAATTTAACAAAAATAATTTATTACAGAATGCAAGGGAAAAAAGGTAGAAAGAAATATAAAGAAGTCGAATTGCTGTGGAGGGAAGTAGAGGGTGGGAGGCGGGTCTTATAATTAAGTGTATACTTTTGCAGCTGTTGTAATTTAGATATTATATTTTATGTGAGGGAATCATTGGGAATTTTGGTTATTATGTATATATGTTAAATTTCAATAAAGATCTTTGTTTTGTCTTGTTTTTTAAAAAGAAAGTCAGAGGGCATCTAATGAAGCCTACAGGCAGATTAAGGAGTGAGTGGCAAGTGGCTGCTAAGGTAAAGGCAAAGGGACCCCTGACCATTAGGTCCAGTCGTGGCTGACTCTGGGGTTGCGGCGCTCATCCCGCTTTATTGGCCAAGGGAGCCGGTGTACACTTCCGGGTCATGTGGCCAGCATGACTAAGCCGCTTCTGGTGAACCAGAGCAGCGCACGGAAACGCCGTTTACCTTCCCGCTGGAGCGGTACCTATTTATCTACTTGCACTTTTGTGCTTTCGAACTGCTAGGTTGGCAGACGAAAGTGATGGACTATATGGAATTGGCTGAGATGACTGGCAGAATCCGAGACCAGGGAGAAGGGTCGGTGGAAGAAGATTGGAAAAAATTTAAAATATATCTTCAAAAATATTGTAATATTAAAGACTGTTAGAAAGATGTTGGAAAAAGAAAATTAGGCAGTTTTGGTAGATATGATATAAAGGATCAAGCAAAAATGAGCTGATGAAATTGATGAAACAGAGGATGTTTAATTACAATATTTTAAATTAAAATACGTAAATGAAAATAAGGTTGGAAGGATTTGCTGAAAAAATGATCTGAACTAGAATACAAAATTGGGAGGTGAGAGGAGGTCAAGGAAATAAGTAAAGGGAAAAAGTTATGTAAAGGTTTAATCTGTTTTTGTTCTATTTTAACTTAATGCATTTTTATATCTTTTGTCTTGCTTTTTTATTTTTTATATATATTCTATTTTATTGTTCTCTTTTTTCTTTTTACTTTTTGCTCTGTTATGGTTAATTTTGTCTTTGTATTTTGTACTGTTTTTTTCTCTTTTTGTAATTTTAAACTTGGAATAAATATCATTTAAAAAAAACAACAACGAACTGCTAGGTTGGCAGGAGCAGGGACCGAGCAACGGGAGCTCACCCCGTCGCGGGGATTCGAACCGCCGACCTTCTGATCGGCAAGTCCTAGGCTCTGTGGTTTAACCCACGGCGCTACCCGCGTCCCAAGTGGCTGCTAGGGGGAGTACAAGCTGGCGGGGGGGGATAGTGGTCATGTCTCTGGCTGCTGCAATGGGCAGGTATTTTCTCACTTGCTTCCCCTTTTGCAATCAGCAGTAGTAGCAACTCTCGCTTGGTCTCAGTCTGGTGCAAGAGGAAAAGGAAGAGGAAGAACTGGAGGAAGAACACCATGTCAGGAGGGGCACTGCGTCATCCCCAACTGAAAGGAAGCCAAACATGTAAATACCTGAAGGCCAGGACAAAGAACCCCTTTCAGGCCAAAGGCCGTTCCCTCACTAGTCTTCCAAGGGCCATGTGCTAAAGTGGATGGAACAAGAGGGGTGAGAGAAGCCGGCCGTGCAAGTCTGTGGCCGTGCTGTGTGGGTTCACATGCGCACCCTTCTCTCCCTCTTCCACCCAGGCAAGCAAGAGGTGTCAGCACTGCTCAGGGACTTGTTGCAGCCAAGCAAAAGCAGTCCAGGAGGGCACAGGGAATGGCCAACGAGAGGTGAGATCTGTGGAGGGGGCATGGCCTGAGGAGACAGGAAAGTCTGCAGGGCTGCATTAAGACCCCTGGCCTTGGGACTTCCGGGGTGGCGCCTCCGGAAAATGGCGGAATTCCCTTCGGACTGAAGGGAACCCGCTGCACGGAGGCTTGGGTCCTGCCGCTACGGCGCAGCGGGACCCGCAAAAACCACAGGCGGAAGAAGCCTGTGGACGTGGGACTCGGCGGGCACCAGAGCGCTCTCTCCCCTTGTACAGGAGCCCGGTAACGGGCTCCGGAGTGGAAGGTGCGTGGTGCTGTGAGTCGACTGCTTCCTCCGTGCAGCAAAGCCGCACTGCCGTTATCGGAGAGCGCTGCCTTTTTCCTGGACAATTTGGCATCTAAAACATCTATCCGTGAGTACCTGATCTTGGAAGAGTTGAACTACTTTTAAGACTGGTGAATAAACAAATAATATTGGACTTGAAATTGAACTTAATTGGGACTCGGAATGGGAAGGTCTAAACAGGAAGTCAGCCTTCCGTTCTTTTGTTACGTGAAGAAAGCAAAGACAAAACATACTAAAGCTTGAAAATTAAATTCTGAGAGAACTAGAATTCAACATCTAAGATTTCTGAACCCCCCCTTTGACTGCAGGAGAAGAAGGGGGGTTGTATTTGGACTTTTCAATCCTGCGGAAGTGAGTTTAAAATAAAGCAATTTTCCACCGCCCTGAACCAGGAGCGGGCTGTCAGAATTGACGTTTTGAAGTATATCCAGCTCGACAGTTAGTTAAAAGAAGGGTAACATTTTGATTCTACTGTTGCCTCTTGAATTTGGAAGGGGGAATTTTGGATAAAGTGTTTCTGGAAAAAGAAAGATTGTTGCTGTTGCTTTTATTCCTTTAAAAAAAAAAAATTTCCATCTAGTGGAATTTAGTGAAATTGCAACGCAGAGAGTTTAAAAGAGAAGGACTATTGGACTATTGTCGTGGGAAGGAATTTTCTTTGACCTTGAAGGACAATGCTAGTACAAAGGCTTGAACAATTGTTCCTGGAAGGTTTTTCAAAACTAAGTGCCCAGCTGGACCAGATGCGTCAGGAGACGACCTTGATGATGGAAGTTACCAGAGCACAGCAGCAAACAAATGAAATTCAGTTAAAGGCTATACAAGCATATGAACCTGCTGTAGTGACGGAGGCTTCAGAGATGGAGGGACCTTTGGACGGGCAAGATCAGCCTTTGAACTTGACAAATGAACTTGGGACAAACCAGATTCGGAAAGATGAAATGTGGTCAGATTTGGAAATGGGGGGATGGATCGACCCCCCTCTATATGGTTATTTGGATCTTCCGAGTCTAGTGAAGGGCTATCAGAGGATTGGAGTAGCCGAAGTCTCCAAGCTTTGTGGAAATTTGAAGTGGTATTATCTGCTGTCTGGCTTGGGCAATGGGTTTGGGATGGACTTGCTGCAAAGAGTCAAAAGCATTTTCTTGCTGGAGTATCCACGACTGGAAGGGAATCATCAACAAGAGTGGCGAAAGGGGCAAAGAAAGAGACTTGAGGGCCTCGGATACGAGACCCCCAGGTTAAGGAGCCGGATTAACGAGGTTAAAAGGACTGACATCCCGGGTCCAGGGGAGGGGCGGTTGGAAGCCGGCTGGACTGAAGTTGACGTAGTATTTTTTATTTCTTATTTTTTAAGATTGGAATGTTTACAAATGTTTGAAGGATGTTGAATGAAATTACATGGCTTAAGTAAGGATTGGTAAATGATTCGTAAAAGGTAATGATGTAAGAATTTGGTAAATACTGAATATAAGCTATGAGTTTTAAAGTTTTTATATGACAAGAGGGAAAATAGAATAAGGAAACGTAATGACAGATTGTTATGAAAAAACAGAAAGGATTTGCTGTAAAAATTAAAAATTAAGAAACAAGAGAGGGGAGGAGGAGGAAGTCTAGAAAGGAAGTCAATAGAGATTGTAAAGGACTTTATATTTTTGTTTTTCTGTCTTTCTTTTTTTTCTTTGCGGCTGGGCTTTCTTTTCTTTTTTGTTTATGTACTATTTTTGTTTTTTGTATTTTCAAAATTTTTTGGAAATTTTTGTTGTTATTCTTTGAAAACTTAATAAATATCAATTAAAAAAAAAAAAAAAGACCCCTGGCCTTGAGGTCCGTCCCCCCCCCCCCCCGCGCTTTAGGTATACTTTATGAACAAACAACGTCTAACTGCATTTGCTGATTACCATCTCTGCTTCTCCCATCACTCCCAGCCCATCATACCTGTCTCCTCATAGCGGAAATTTAGATTTTAAGTTCTTCAAGCATGAGACCAGTGGTCTTCCTTTTGCTTGTGCTGCTCTTTAGGACACCATACGCACTGGTGACAACATTTAAGCAACAGTAATAGTCATGCTGTGTCAGATTGTATCCCTTACCTTTTCAGTTCCACATTTTGTACCCTCTTTCACCAGCATTGGGTCCGGAAAGCCCTCTGGTTGTTGAAGGTCCAGAGATATACAAAGGGTATCTTGGAACGGAATGTATAGAACTGGAACGTCCATGTCAACATAAGGGTTTCTAGTTGGATAGAGGCAAATTAACTTTCCACATTTGATATCCCTGTCAAAGGCATTTGGAGAAAAGAACAGGATCACACATTTGCAAAGATTTGGGGATTATGTATTGGAAATATCTGTTTTTTTCACCTCCAAGATATCATATTTGACAACGGAAGTATGTTTTTGAAGATGTTACCTAAAAATGCATGCTTTTCATTACACAGATGACAAACGGGAGGGGCTGCCATTCCTCAACCTTTGAAACATCTGGCATCAAAGATTATTCCCCAACAATTTGTGCCCAATGGATATATTTTGGTATATCATAATTTGTTTGTTTGATATATTTTGGTATATCTTAATTTGTTGTTGGTGCTGGAGGAGACTCTTGAGAGTTCCATGGACTGCAAGAAGATCAAACCTATCCATTCTTAAGGAAATCAGCCCTGAGTGCTCACTGGAAGGACAGATCCTGAAGCTGAGGCTCCAATATTTTGGCCACCTCATGAGAAGAGAAGACTCCCTGGAAAAGACCCTGATGTTGGGAAAGATGGAGGGCAAAAGGAGAAGGGGACGACAGAGGACGAGATGGTTGGATAGTGTTCTCGAGGCTACCAGCATAAGTTTGACGAAACTGCAGGAGGCAGTGGAAGACAGGAGTGCCTGGCGTGCTCTGGTCCATGGGGTCACGAAGAGTCAGACACGACTAAATGACTAAACAACAACAACAATTTGTTGTTGTTGCTGTATGATTTTGCTGTATTGATTTTCTTATGTGAACCACCTTATAATCATTTTGGTGAAAGGCAATCTACAATTAATTAATTAATTAATTAAGCCTTCTTCTCAATCCTTCTTTTGTGTTGTGTCCTCTATTTTTTAAATTAGTTTTTATTAAAGATTTTATTGTGTATCAAACAAACAGACAAAAAAGTACATATAGTGTCTCTACTTTCAATTCATAGAGTTTTTTTCACAGTTTGTCAACATTTGGTACTAGACACATATGCGATTGGGGAAAAAGAGAGAGGAAAGGGGAGAGAGATCTTGATCTTTTGTTCAGTTGTGTAGTATTCGTGCAGGGTTTTTATGTCAGCATTGTGTGGGCAGGTCCTCTATATATTTATTCATTTATGATGGCATTGCAAGAGATTTGAGGGTCCAACGCTTGGTTGGTTGTGTTCAGTTAGCTGCAGTGTGGTTTGCTTGTTTGTGTGTGTGTGTGTGTGTGTGTGTGTGTGTGTGAGAGAGAGAGAGAGAGAGAGTGTGGGTGGTACCTATTTATCTACTTGCACTGGCATGCTTTCGAACTGCTAGGTTGGCAGAAGCTAGGACAGAGCAACAGGAGCTCACCCCATCATGCGGATTCGAACCGTCAACCTTCTGATCAGCAAACCCAAGAGGCTCAGTGATTTAGACCACAGTGCCACCCACGTCCCTTGCTACAGAGACAGAGCCTGGTGTGCAACAAGGTTTGGAAAAGAGGCGGATTTCGGGCAGCGTGCCTGGTTTCCCCACCCAGGGCACAGGAGTCAAGGGTGCACCTTCCCCCAAAGTAAGCACTGGGCTTTGCGAAGGAGGCGTGAGGGCTCTGACAGGATCCTAGAGTCCTCCTGCTTCCTTCCCAAAGCCTAGTTAGCACTTGCCCAGCTTTAGGAAGGAGGTGGGAGGGAGCCTTGTGCCTCCTTCCCAAAGCTTGGTGCCTCCCTTCTCCGGCTTTTGGAAGGCAGCTTGGGGTGGAGTGGGGAATACATCAAATTTGGGCCTCACGCATTGCACCATATTACCAAGATCCGCTCCTGCTTGGTAGTGAACTGAGGGCTTGTAAACCTCTATGACCTCCCATCTGGTATGCTTCTTGCACCATTGGACTGACAATGTGGTAGACACTGTGTTACTTGGTCTTGGGGAAAAAGATGCCCAGGATAAACCTGGCTCCAGCTCCATTGGCCTTGATGCTGTAGGATGTGGTTCAGCAGACACCTGACTGTCAGCCACAGTTTAGTGGGACTAACCACCAGCGTCAGGGTCAGAAACCCAGTGCCATCCCTCAGCTAGTGACACAGGAGCCTCCAACTGGGTGTCCTAGTCCCTGTGGGAGAGTCATGACAGCCCACTCCACCTGGCTACCTTGATACTATATCAACAGTAAAAACATGCACCATACAATAGAAGATGCCTAAGCCGCCAGCCCACAAACATCCTGCCACAGTTTCTTCTGTTTCCTAATCACATACCGCAAAGAACAAGTCTTAAATCCCTTTCTTATGTCAATCCCACAGTGTCCAAATCTATCTGTCTCACCATTAATTTCTTCATAACATGCTTGCGGAGCACTTTTTGACTCTATAAATATTAAAAGGATTTTGATTAGAAGGACTAAAATGAAACATTTAATAGTTTTCTTTTAGCAATGCTTTTAACAGATACTTTCGTATGTGTAAAAACAAATCAGTCTGATGCATAAAGTCTGATATATTGGATTTGCCTCCGCAAATAATAAATTTGTTAGCCTTGAAGGTGCTGCAAGACTCTTTGTTTTCACTGAAGCAGAATTATTTAGTTATTTAAAATATTTTCTTCATGCAGCACATAGGTAAACAATGGAGATCACTGCAACATGTAGTGAAGGCCACCAACTTAGATGGATTTAGAAGGCGATTAGCAAAATTATGAATGGTAGGTCTATAAATAACTACTAGCTATGACGGATCTATATACAGTATAACCTCCTGTAGAAAGAGGCAGAAGGAGCAGGAGAGCTACTTGTAGGCTTCCTTTTGGCATCTCAATGGCTACGGTGAGAACAGAATCCTGACTAGATAGGCCTTCAGAGGAAGCAGGATTCCTCATAAAGGCATTTGATGAAGGGCTTCACCAAAACAACCTAACTGAACAGGTTGGCATGGTAACTAACAACATTTTGGCTTGTGCCTAAGTGTAGTTAGGTACCGTATTTTTTGCTCTATAAGACTCACTTTTTCCCTCTAAAAAAGTAAGGGGAAATATGTGTGCGTCTTATGGAGCGAATGCAGGCTGTGCAGCTATCCCAGAAGCCAGAACAGCAAGAGGGATTGCTGCTTTCACTGTGCAACGATCCCTCTTGCTGTTCTGGCTTCTGAGATTCAGAATATTTTTTTTCTTGTTTCCCTCCTCCAAAAATTAGGTGCGTCTTGTGGTCTGGTGTGTCTTATAGAGCGAAAAATACGGTAGCTAGTAGAGTGATTTTAAAGTTGGCATACAATGCATAAACCTGGTCATACCAGTCAGAATTCTGGTGGCCATCTTCTGCACCAAGGAAGAAGAAGCATGCCTTGGCAATCAGCCACATTGGGCAATAGTTGCAAACGTGGAAGACAGCACCACTATAGTGCCATGGGCTTCCCCCTCCAGCCAGCTCAGGTGAAAGGGCAGGTGTGTCAGGAGATCCCCCAAAACAGGGCGTGGGGGGAGGAGTGGGGAGGTGATTTCATCAGCCAAGCAGAAATGCTTGCATTGTTGATGGAACAATCTAAATCGTGTGACGCTGAATTCTGCTCAGAGAGTCCAAGAGAAACCCAGGGCTCATTCGACGGGCAAACTGGTATAAAAGCTGAGGAAAGCTCATGGTATAGGTGCGAGTGGGCATGCACACACAATTTGGTTACAGAAGGAAGCTGTTTGTTTGCTTGCTTGCTTGTTTATATTTCAGGGTAAATATTTCATTTTGTTTTGAAAAGAAGCAAAAAAGCAAGTTGTCTCACTTACTTTCACCAAAAAGATCCTGACACTGTAGATCAGCCGACTGACAGGATCCACCATAACAGTAGCCAGAATTAGAGGCACAGCTATAGCCATTCTGGGCGTAAACATTGCTTGGGCAGGATGCTGAACTGCCATTGCAGTACTCAGGGAAATCACAGACACTATCTATAGCTGCTCTACAGATTGTGTTTCTTGGCTTGAACTAGGTGAAAAGGAAAAGGAAGAAGGAAAGTATCAAGAGCATTTTTCATGGAGGACTACAGCTAGGGTTGAGGAGGATTCCCACCGCAGTGGTACCTATTTATCTACTTGCACTGGTGTGCTTTCGAACTGCTAGCTTGGCAGGAGCTGGGAAAGAGCAATGGGAGCAACAAGGCTTTGATGAAGAATCCCATGGGAAATAGACTGTGGGACTATCTTACTGATCCATTATTATTAGTAGTGGCAGTAGGAGCAGTAGTAGTACCATTTTATTATATATTTATTTATATCCTGCCTCTTCCCTAGAGATTAGTGATGTCCTGCTTTGGGCTGAGCAGAAAAGGTACAAGAGTCTCTTCTGCCAGAAGGCTAGATGAGCTGCCGCTGAAGGTATAATTCTGAGTGCAGTAAGCCGTCTTTGATCAGTAACTGCATTAGCCTGGTGGCCATGTGCATTGCTTTGCAATCAATAAAACCGTGTCTCCATTTTGTGATTTGGATTTCTCCTACATGGTCTGCAGAACTCTGGTAAACCTTCACACTCACCTGTGTCAGTGCTTACATTGTTGCTGAGATCCCGAGATTCTTTCCCTACCCTTGAACAACACCAGCATTTACCGTATTTTTCGTTCTATAGGGCGCACCGGCCCATAGGACGCACCTCGTTTTTTTTGGGGGGGGAATGAATAAAAAAAATTATTCCCCCCCCCACCGCCGTGGCTGCCGCCCCAAGCCTCGCGTGCTTCGGGCTGCAGGCTACCCCCAAGCCTCGCGCGCTCGGCGGGACCTCCCACTGGGCGCGCGAGGCTTGCAGACACTCGCCTAAAGCACGGGGAGCCCTCCGGAGGGCTCCCCGTGCTTCGGGCGACCGGCTGCCGCCCCAAGCCTCGCGCGCTCGGCGGGACCTCCTGCCGGGCGCGCAAGGCTTGCAGACACTCGCCTAAAGCACGGGAGCCCTCTGGAGGGCTCCCGTGCTCGGGCGACAGGCTGCTGCCCCAAGCCTCGCGCGCTCGGCGGGACCTCCTGCTGGGCGCGCAAGGCTTGCGGACACTCGCCGGGGCTGCAGGCTGCTGCCTGCAAGCCTTGTGAGCCCGCGGGAACTCCCACCGGGCTTGCAAGGCTTGCGGATAGCTTCCTGAAGCCTGGAGAGCGAGAGGGTCGGTGCGCACCGATGCCTCTCGCTCTCCAGGCTTCAGCGAAAGCCTGCATTCGCTCCATAGGACGCACACACATTTCCCCTTCATTTTTGGAGGGGAAAAAGTGCGTCCTATGGAGCGAAAAATACGGTAATTGTAGATATGGAAATCCTCAAAATGGCATTCCATCTTTAAAGGAAATTCTTCCTTGATCTAACTGCAGTTCAGTGTTAATTAGCATCTTACATCAGGCTGCAAATGGTTGTAACCAACTAAGTTCTACTCACAGTAGACCCACTGAAATTAATCAAACTAAACTCGCCATGTCCATTAACTTTGATGGGTCAGCTTTGTGTGGGATGAGCATTGGCTGCAACACAGAGGTTGCGGAGATAAAATTCAGAGGAAGTTGTAATGTCGATTCAAACAAAGTGAGGTGAATGTGTGGCCAAGGCAGTGAAGAGAGTACTTTAGCATCTTACCTGACAATTTTCACAGCACAGTTCATTGCTGCACACTGCTCCACGGAGAAATGTACATGAGCTAGTACAACATTTACTGTACTTACATTCCTGAAAACAAAAATCATACAGCTTTTTATTTGGGGTCAGTAAAGAGTTTAGACAGTGAAAAAAAAATATGAAAATAAAAGCTGAAACTCCAAAGCTTTTTTTGTAAGCCGCTTTGAGGGTTGTTGTTTTATAATCAAGCAGAGTGTAAATTTTATTAAATAAATGCAAGTAAAGGTTTATACATGGAATCTGCCCAAATCTTTTCTGCTACATTATGCTTTTTAACACAGAGGAATTTCCAAAGACAGGAAAAGACAAGAGGGAAAGGTTGACTTCAAATTTTACTCAAATAAACCTGATTATAATACTATTTTTAATATACAAAGCAATTCCCATGAGGCAATTCCCGAAGGTAAATTTAATTCCTAGGCAGATATATATGGGTCCCTAAACTAACCTGGCTCTAAGCCAATGAGCTTTTTGTACTGTTGTTTGGATATAGGGTTAGTTTTAAATTCCTGACAGTAAACTGGTCTACACACACACACACACACACACACACACACACATATGGTCTCCTGTTGGCTTTGGTTGGCTTTTCAAATAACTGCTACATAGCTTTTCATTTGATAACCATGTTGTTGATGTTTTTAAATTTCAAAAGCTGTGTTAGAAGAGAATGCGACAAGTATTTTTCCAATTTAAACACATCAGGAGCAGGCAGAAACAACCAGAAGGGCCGTAGCTTAAGGTTACCAGATGTCTCCGTTTCCCAGGGACAGTCCCCGGATTTACAAATCAGTCCCCTGACAAAATCCTATCGTTCCTACTGAAGTTGAAAAGTGTCCCCAGATTCATTGAAAAAAAAATCTGGTAACCTTACTGTAGCTCAGTGCTAGAGCATCAGCTTTGAATGCAGAAGGTCCCAGGTTCAATCCCCATCATGTCCAGGTAGGACTGGGAGAGAATACTGCCTGAAACCTTGGAGAGCCACTTGGTTTAAGGCAGAGTCACTTCCGAGCTGGAGAGGAGGTGGGGTTGCGGGCTTCACGCGCCTCCCCACGCACGCGGGGGCTGGCTCAAAGCCCCCGCGATACTGGGGGAATCCTTGGACGTGTCATCTCCCCGGCCAGCCAATCGGCTGGTCCGGGAGGCGTGGCCCGCCCTATTTAGGGCCGGCGCTGTGGAGGATCTCCCTCTTTCCTTGCTCCAGCTGACTGGGTAGGGGTATTGCTATGGAGATGAAAGGGGGGGAAAGGAAGCGCCATCACCTTCCCCCCAAATCGAAGGGTAGTCTGGTAAAGGATTCCGGGGGGCGTCGCCTTGTCCTAAGCCTATGGAGGTGTGGGCCTATGGCACGCCCCCGAGCTCCTAGTTGACGTGCCTCAGCAGGACTCCCCCTACTGGTGGTTAACCCTTGCCGGTCTTCAAGCAAGCAGGCTGAAGCCGGTTAGTCAATAGGACCAATGCCTAAGCCAATACCAATACCGCTCAATTCCTGCAATCAATAAAGTTGTGGCCTAATTTGACCCATTAACCTAAAATTCTGGTGTCTCGTGTCTTTATTTCCGAGGGGGGAGGCGGGAACTCGCCACGCAACTGCCAGTTTTCCGAAAGGGGAGTTTGAGCAGCCCTGGAGGCTTCCCAGAGCAAAAGTGGAAGGCAGGCAGAGGTAGGTGGGAGTTATTCTAAATGTCTGCTTCTCTGTTTATTTTAAATAATCAACCCAAAACCCCTGGAACAGGGCAGGACATACATTCAAATGAACAAACCTAGAAAACATTTAGGAGGTACTGACCTCTTCAGAGCCGCAGTCACACTTCTCTCCAGCTTCCAGAACACCATTCCCACAAAGCGCTCTGCTTCTGGCACTTCGCTTCTTATAAAACAATTTTAAATTAGGCCGATTAGAGAGACAGTGGGCTCCTCTGAATTTAATGAAATATTGGAAGTCTTCAATGCTGCAGCTGCTAAAAGCTTTAATTCCACTTGAAAGTCTGAAACATAGTTAAGATGAATCTGATATTATTACATGGCAAGCGCGCATACAGACTCAACACATTTTAAATAAAAAAATAAAAACAAGAGCCCCTTCCTTCTTATGCATGCTGAATGGAGGGCTGCCGAGCGCAGCAGGAGGCCAGGCCAGTCTCTGAAACCTGAAAGGTGACCTGAGCAACATTTTTTTCCACCAAAAAACAAACAAATAAAAACCTTTTAACATTTTTATGAAGTTTTCAAGAAGTTTTGTTACAGTCTGCATAGTTGCAGACACGGCTCCGAGGCATCATACTGAATCACTATAAAACAATGAAAGGTAAGATCCAGTTTTTAAAAATGAGCATTTATTTTGTCCTACTTTCAGCTGGTCAACATCCACACCATAGATTTAAAGCACATGACTTCCCCCAATTAATCTGGGAATTGTAGTATACCTCTCACAGAGCTACACTTCACAACCACTAAGTATAGTTTCCATGATTCTTGGAGGGAAGCCATGTATTTAAAATATAAGTTGTGGGTGTTTTGCAATTATTGAAAGAAAAGACCTGAAAGAACTTGCTGTCTAGAGGCAAAAGGAGAAATGAGTGAACACAGCATGATCCCTCTTTAAAACCACCTCCAATTATCTTGAGGGGAGAAATAGCATAGGTCTCCAGTATTAAACAAGCTTTACACTTTCTACTTTCAGTGGTACCTTGGGTTACATACGCTTCAGGTTACAGACTCCGCTAACCCAGAAATAGTACCTCGGGTTAAGAGCTTTGCTTCAGGATGAGAACAGAAATCGTGTGGCAGCGGCATGGCGGCAGCGGGAGGCCCCCATTAGCTGAAGTGGTGCTTCAGGTTAAGAACAGTTTCAGGTTAAGAACAGACCTCCGGAACGAATTAAGTACTTAACCCGAGGTACCACTGTACTGGATTTTTTCCAGTTACATTTGGTACAAAATGGTAACAGCAGATACCAAATAGCAGTGGAAGATTTTTGGCTCTTCAAAGTTTGCTAATGCACAAGCCTCAGCGCCTAGGACTTGCTGATCGAAAGGTCAGCGGTTCGAATCCCCGCGGCGGGGTGCGCTCCCGTTGCTCGGTCCCAGCGCCTGCCAACCTAGCAGTTCGAAAGCACCCCCGGGTGCAAGTAGATAAATAGGGACCGCTTACTAGCGGGAAGGTAAACGGCGTTTCCGTGTGCTGCGCTGGCTCGCCAGATGCAGCTTGTCACGCTGGCCACGTGACCCGGAAGTGTCTCCGGACAGCGCTGGCTCCCGGCCTCTAGAGTGAGATGAGCGCACAACCCTAGAGTCTGTCAAGACTGGCCCGTACGGGCAGGGGTACCTTTACCTTTTTATAGCAGAACTTCACCCCTTATGGCAGAAGTGGGGAACATCAGACCCACAGGCATAATTAGGCTTTCCTGGCCTCTGAATTTGTCCCTGAAGTTGAGGGGAAGTTTTTAGTGTGTGGTGTTGTATTGTGCTTTTACTATTTTTTGTTGGGAGGTGCCCAGAGTGACTGGGGCAACCCCGTCAGATGGGCAGCATATAAATAAATGTTGTTGTTATTGTTGACGAACCACAGGAGATAAGCCTGTGCCTGGTCTTTGATGGTAAACTGCAGAAGAGTAGCCACCATTTCTGTTATCTCTAATCTCAGTACAGTGCTGAGATAGGAGTGAAGGAATGCGTTTCCAAACTCTAAAATCTGACTGTGCAGGCAGTCTGAAACGGGCCCCCAAATCTTCATTTTTCCTTCTCCAAGGGTGCATTAGCTAAAAACCATTAACTTGAGCACTTGAGCAAATGCATAACAAGAACACAGCTGTATAAACAAAAGCTCTCTCCTTTATCAGTCCGTGACGCCTAATGAATGGCCTTGCCAGTTCCAAAGTGGAGCAGGGATGACACATCTGGGTCTTATCTTACATCCTGACCACAATGATGCACAGACCTTGTCAGCCCCCCAGGAATGGTGCCAGGAGTGCTCTTAGAGTTGGTGACCTTCTTACCCCAAAATAAGGAGTACAGGAACAGAAACACCCTTTTATGGTCAAGAGCACAGGAACAGGAACACCCTTTTATGGTTAAGAGTACAGGAGCAGGAACATCTGTGATGTCAACTTACGTGTATAAGCTTACGTGTCTGGATTCCTGGGGAAGGGGGGAGAGAATGCCTGGAAGATATATATACTGTATGCAATTTCTCTTGCTTTTGTGCTTGCTGTGAACCGATTCACGCAGTGCCTTCTGCTATCTGGAGAGCAGAATAAACTCTTTCTCTGAACCGAACCTTGGTGTCATTTGACTTCCTTCCTCCCGTCCGGGAGCAACGCTCACCCAACCAATTGGTAAAGTCTAAAAAGGCTACAGGAGATGAGCTCTGCTGCCTTCCACTATCAAAAGTGCAAGCAGAGGCTTATGTCCAGTCCTAACACCATAGGACTACCTATGAGCTGCTCAGTGCAATAGTCATAGTACGTACACTGCTTCCGTGTTCATTATGCAGACAAAACCTCCTGGGCACTTGCACTCTTTGCCGTTGTCATATTCCATCCCCAGGTTAAGGCCCAGCAATTGGGCCAGAATGACGGAGAATGGCTCTTTGCTCATCGACTTCTGATACTAGAAGGAAGAGGGAAAACTGGAATCAGGAACCAGATTATTCCACTCCATTATGGGTGACTAAATGCAAACAAGTCTCTTAGGAACGTATTTTAGGAACATCTTAGTACAGTGGTACCTCAGGTTACAGACGCTTCAGGTTACAGACTCTGCTAACCCAGAATTAGTACCTCGGGTTAAGAACTTTGCTTCAGGATGAGAACAGAAATCGTGCAGCAGTGGCGCGGTGGCAGCAGGAGGCCCCATTAGCTAAAGTGGTACTTCAGGTTAAGAACAGTTTTAGGTTATGAACAGACCTCCAGAATGAATTAAGTTCTTAACCCGAGGTACCACCGTATTTAAGTTCATTTTGTAGAACCTAAGATCATATTGTGCTTTGCTCTAAAGACAGGGAAGTTGAAAAGGCATCCCTGTTCATACCCTAAGGGTGTGTCTGCAGGTTTCTGAAGGGTCACAGGTTACCCACCCCTGCAATACCTAAATCCAAGACAGGCAACATATACACTTTAGCCAAGAAAGTTCAGTGATACTGTACCAGAGCAACTCCTGCATCAAAATTCCGGAGGCACAGCTTCCCCATAAATCCTGCTCCTATATAATTAGGTTTCTCCCTGTAACTAAAACACAAAAGTAGATGGTGGAGTAGCTAAAGGGATTGTGTCTTCAAAAGAAATGGCAAAGTCTTCACATAATCAAGAAACTGTGGAGAACATTACATACACAGTAGCTTTCCCAGGTCTTGTTACCACAACTGGTCTCTTCCACCATCATTTGCCCACAATCCCAGGTGAGCAATCTGCTATTTAGCTCTAACATCTGCTGGAATCTTTCAGTAGAAGGGAAACTTTTCCTGGCAGGGGCCCCTGAGCTGTGCTTCTATGCTTTCCCATGCAAGAGAAGGACACCATTTTCTTGTGCAGTTTCTGTCTTGCATCTATGACAGGTGCTTTGCCAACTTGGTGCTGTCCAGTTGTTTGGGATTACAACTCTCATCAGCCACAGCCAACAGATTGCTGGATATGACAGAAACTGTAATCCAAAACATCTAGAGGGCACCAGGTTGGCAAAGTCTCTGTCTCTCACATACCCTTCGGCTGGTGTTTTCTCTTAGTTGTCTTAAATTGGCTTTTCCTTGGATCCATCGATAATGTGAACATAACATCCTACAGCTGTCCAAAGATGCAGTTGATTTCTCTTCCTTATGCTGCCCCACATCAAGAGCATTTAACGTGGCACAACTATTATTTGATATGTAGACATTTTTCATCACATCTTCATCCAAGGAACTCAGGCAACTCTGTGACATAATGCTTTGTGAGGAAGGGCACGAAATAAATACTGTGCTGGATTCAACTACCGTATTTTTCGCTCTATAAGACGCATGTTTTCCCCTCCAAAAATTAAGGGGAAATGTGTGTGCATCTTATGGAGCAAATGCAGGCTCCTTGGCTTCAGCGATAGCAACGTGAAGCCTCCAAAGCGCGGTGGGAGCACTCCCACCACGCTCCTTGGCTTCGCGTTGCTTTTGCTGAAGCCTGGAGAGTGAGAGGAGTCAGTGCGCACCGACCCCTCTCGCTCTCCAGGCTTAAAAGATAGCCACCTGAAGCCTTCAGAGCGCGACGGGAGCTCCCACCGCACTCCAGAGGCTTCAGGCGGCTATCTGGAGAGCGAGAGGGGTTGGTGCGCACCGACCCTCTCACTCTCCAGATAGCCTCGGGTTCCTTTCGCCTTCGGGTTGCCTTCTGCTGAAGCCTCTCACTCTCCGGGCTTCAAAGATAGCCGCCTGAAGCCTCCGGAGTGCAGCGGGAGCTCCTGCCGCGCTCTGGAGGCTTCGGGTTCCTTTCGCTGAAGGGTAGGTGCCCCTTCAGCTAAGGCATAGCGCCCCTTCAGCTAAGCGGGAGGAGAAATGGAAGGGGCTCCGTTTCTCCTGCCGCTTCGCTGAAGGGGCGCTGCACAGAGAGGGGGAGATTTTTCCCCCCTTGTTCTCCCCCTCTAAAACAAGTTGCGTCCTATGGTCGGGTGCGTCTTATAGAGCAAAAAATACAGTAACTGGTCCAAACTTGTGCAAAGACTTGAACTAGCACAATGGGACTTTCTCCCCTCTCCCCCATGCCCTCTAATTGACTGGGGGCAGGGTCCTGAGTACTCCAAGAACAGCATAGAGGGGGGAGGGGGGATGCTTGCACTGACATAACATTTGTAACAGTGCAATGCTGGATTTATTCCTTGATAAACAAATACAGTGGTACCTCGGGTTACGTATGCTTCAGGTTACATACGCTTCAGGTTACAGACTCCGCTAACCCAGAAATTGTTGTTGTTGTTGTTTAGTCGTTTAGCCGTGTCCGACTCTTTGTGACCCCCTGGACCAGAGCACGCCAGGCACTCCTGTCTTCCACTGCCTCCCGCAGTTTGGTCAAACTCATGCTGGTAGCTTCGAGAACACTGTCCCACCATCTCGTACTCTGTCATCCCCTTCTCCTTGTGCCCTCCATCTTTCCCAACATCAGGGTCTTTTCCAGGGAGTCTTCTCTTCTCATGAGGTGGCCAAAGTATTGGAGTCTCATCTTCAAGATCTGTCCTTCCAGTGAGCACTCAGGCCTGATTTCCTTAAGAATGGATCGGTTTGATCTTCTTGCAGTCCATGGGACTCTCAAGAGTCTCCTCCAGGACCAGAAATAGTACCTCGGGTTAAGAACTTTGCTTCAGGATGAGAACAGAAATCGCGCAGCAGCGGCGCGGTGGCAGCGGGAGGCCCCATTAGCTAAAGTGGTGCTTCAGGTTAAGAACAGTTTCAGGTTAAGAACGGACCTCCAGAACAAATTAAGTACTTAACCCGAGGTACCACTGTACAGAATGATGGACCAAGATTATTCAGTGAGCTTCATGGCCGAAGAGGAATCTGGAAATAGGTCTCTCTGGTTTAACTCTGGTATGCTATCTACAACACAGTGACTGATCATAGGCACTTTTTATTTTAGCTTTACCTACGGAAAGGTCGGTTCACTTTCTATGGCCAGCTGCTGGTGCTCTTGCAATGCTATATTTTTCAATAACTGCACAAAAAGGCTGAAAATCCTTTGATCCCAATAGCACAACCCCAAGCCCAGCAGTAGGTCCCATTAAGCTCAACAGGGCATGCTCCTAGGAAAGTGGGCAGGATTTCCACTAACTGGTCTGAGGGCTGACATTAACACAGTTTCCTTTGTGAAACAGGTGTTAGCCACACAAAGCAGGGAATGGGGCAGCAACAAGGCATGGTGACATGACAGCCGTTGTAGGAAATTAGTACAGTAAAAAGGTTACCCCCCTCATCAGCCATCAGGGCAGCCACCAGCTTTTCCCATCTGAAGCCCATTAGAGAGCCAATACACCATAACACTCCCAGATGCTTTTGCAGCCCCCTTTTCAACATGCGGCCTGGCTGCTGGATCAGGCCAAAGGCCAAGCAGGATCTCAACGCAAGAGCACTCTTCTCACTTGTGAGTCCCACCAAGTGTATTCAGAGGCATTCTACCACTGACAGTGGAGGGAGAACATAGTTATCATTTTCCAGCTGCTTGAGTTGTTAAACAAAAGAAAACATGTCGAGTCATCCCTCAGACCACCATGTAATTGTTTTTTTTTAAAAAAACTACTACATTTGGGATGATTTTTCAGTGGTGGGGGGACTTCTGCACATGGAATGTGCAAACAACAAATATAAAATGTGAGCACATGCAAAACGGCTATATGAAGTGGACTAAAACTGATCTGTCTGTACCTAGTTTGCACAGCGCTGCATTTTAATGGAAGGCTATGTTATTTATATTTGCTACCTACTCTATCGTTGAAGGGCACAATGTTCTATAATAAGTATTTCAGTAAAGGGTGGAATGCCTGCTTTCCATGCAAAAGGTTCCAGGCTCAATCCCCACCAGAAAGACGCCTCTCTGAAATGTTAGAGAACAACAACACTGACTCGGGCCTCACACTGTGGGTGCCCAGCACGCCCCACATCATGACGTCGTAGTGCAGGGCATGAGCTCCAGCAGTGGGGCGACTGGACCCCTCCCACCCGAACTCCACTCTTTCTTCCACCCTCCGCCCAAACTCCGCACTCTCTCTTCCACGGGGCGTGGTGGCCACGCGCCTGGCACTGCTTTTTGTGGGTGCCCAGCCTCTATAGGTGAAATCTTGTGAGTGCTTGGGCACCCAGAGCCCCAGGCAGAAAGCGCCTATGTTAGTGAGTCACTATCTCTCAGTGTAGATGAGTATGCATGCTATAGCAATATTAGAGTGCTTTAAATGAGAAATATATCTCCTTACACTAACAAAAGCGCCAGATCATGAGGCCGTAGAACAAGATATGAATTTTTCCAACGTAGAAATTTTCGTAGTAACACATCGGGCTCTCCTGCTGTTGAGATTTTATTGTGGTCCGTCCAGAACTCCAAAGAAGATAGAACTACTGTAATATTAAGGCTAGAAAACATCTGAAAAGATGGAAAGAATGCAAGCTCAAATAAAGGCAGAGCAAAATACATGTTCGGCGGTTCCAACTTAATTTTTGACGAATTCATCATAAAGATTTGGGTGATCCTAATTTGTGCCAGGGCTCACCAGTTTGCCATTACACGTGCAAGAAGCCAGGGGCTCAGGGCTGGTGTGCCCATGAGGCAAATGAGGGGGTGGCCTCAGGGAGGCAGCCTCCAGACAGCTGGGGGAGGGGCACCACAGTGCACACATTGCGACACACACACTGTCCGGGTGCATGACGATGGTGGGCAGCGAGTGGTGACTGCTGTGACAAATAGAATCAGTCACCCACATCCTGGTTTCAGACAATTCAATCTAATCTTATTAATCTGTAGGTTGTTAGTAGGGAGTGGCCATTCAGACAAATGTAAGCCTTCAGGATTGGGGGGGGGGGGAGGGATAAGGTGGAGATAGTAGCCAGGTTTCGGCAACATGAAATGAGGATTCATGAATGTTATACTACACGTAACGTAAGTGTTAGATGCAGGTTTCTGATGAGTGATCTATTTATTTTTTTGTACTGAACCCTACTGGAATCTTGTACATACGCCTATTATTATTATTTCTACCCCGCCCATCTGGCTGGGTTTCCCCAGCCACTCAGGGCGGCTTTCAACAGAACATTAAAAACAGAATAAAACTTCAAACATTAAAAACTTCCCGAAACAGGGCTGCCTTCAGATGTCTTCTAAAAGTCAGATAGTTGTTTATTTCCTTGGCATCTGATGGGAGGGCATTCCACAGGGTGGGTGCCACTACTGAGAAGGCCCTCTGCCTGGTTCCCTGTAACTTCATTTCTCACAGTGAGGGAACCGCCAGAAGGCCCTCAGCGGCGGACCTCAGTGTCTGGGCTGAACGATGGGGGTGGAGACGCTCCTTCAGGTATACTGGGCCAAGGCTGTTTAGGGCTTTAAAGGTCAGCACCAACACTTTGAATTGTGCTCAGAAACGTACTGGGAGCCAATGTAGGTCTTTCAGGACTGGTGCTATATGGTCTCGGCAGCCACTCAGTAAAGGTTTGAGAATGAGAATGAGACTTTCAGACTGCATGCACATATAGATCCTTGAGCTCAAATACTGTCCCCTCCCCATTCCTCTTTTAGCGTGTCCACTTACGGTTTTAAACTAACCAGAGACTTCTGAACTGCGGAGGTTGGTTAGTTTGAACTATGGTTTGTTAACAAGTCAAGATCCCACACCAAAGTTTGATCCTGGTTTGTTTCAACAAACTGTACTTTTAACTAAACAGAGTTCCTCCACCCTACCTCACCCTGGTCCCAGTTCAGACATAAAAGAAACTCTAGTTAGTTTTAAATGGGAAGCAAGTAGCTTCTGATGTCCTTCTCATGGCTGTGCCAGAAGAGCGGAGGGGAATAAGGAGTGTGTGAACCCAAGGTTCACTGTTACTGAAGGTAAAGGGTAAAGGTACCCCTGACCATTAGGTCCAGTCGCAGACGACTCTGGGGTTGCGGTGCTCATCTTGCTTTATTGGCCAAGGGAGTAGGCGTACAGCTTCCAGGTCATGTGGCCAGCATGACTAAGCTGCTTCTGGTGAACCACAGCAGCGCACAGAAACGCCGTTTACCTTCCTGCCAGAGCAGTACCTATTTATCTACTTGCACTTTGACGTGCTTTTGAACTGCTAGGTTGGCAGGAGCAGGGACCGAGCAACGGGAGCTCACCCCGTCGCGGGGATTCGAACCACTGACCTTCAGATCGGCAAGCCCTAGGCTCAGTGGTTTAACCCACAGCGCCCCCCACGTCCTCACTGCTACTAGTGTGAAGTGTTAGGGGTAGCCAGTGTGGTGCCCTCCAGACATTGTTGAACTCCCAATCTCTTAAACCATTGGCCATGCTGGCTGGGACAGATGTGAGCTGTGATCTGAGAATTGCTGGAAGACCTCTGCGCTAAACCGTGTGTTGGCATCATCTGTCTCGAGACAATGGAGTGCACTTCCAGGGGTGATGTCAAACCGCTGTGCTAGCAGCACTGAACTGACCTCCCTGGAACACAAGCTTGGGCAGTGCGTCTGGAGGTCCTGGGCTGCCCAGACGACAAGATCCCCTTCTTGGCCTCACTGATGTGGTTCAAAGGAAAGCAGAGCAAGGCATTTGGCACCAGCTTGGCTGCAGGTGTTGCCCGAAGGAGGCGTATAAGATGCCATCCAACTGCCTTAGGGACTCTGCTCCGGATTTGTGTAGGGTTTATTCCTTAGCCTTTTCTTCTCCCAAAGATATCCCACAAGGCAGCAGAGGTTTAGGACTGGAGTTTTCCTTCTTCCCAGGTTGATGAGCCCCATCTGCCCCTCACTTCCCTCTACAACACATGCAGAAGCCGCCTTCTTGACTGTTGGACCCACTCTTAAGTCTTGTATGCTCAATCTGCTGGAGCCTGGCTTTGCATGCAGGGGAAGTCCCTAACTCACCATGGGGTTGAGAACCATTAGCTACCCTCACCTGGTTTAGCCAGCCAGCCAAAGCTGTTCTTGGGGTGTGGCCACTGTTGTATGCTGACAGCTTCTAGGAACCACGGGTGAGAGGTGAGTGAAGGGTGGCAACCAAAGTGGACAAACTACCCCCACTAGAGGTACTACCCTAACACTCCATACACCCCTGTGTTAAACTATGGTTTAACATTATGTCCTAAAAGGGTCAGACATGCCAATCTTGACTTCTGTTGCAGGGTCAGTACCACTGAAACCATGCATGCTATTTCAGTTAGTCACAGCTAAGTGGTGTCTTGATTTAAATGGAATGTACTCTATACTAATTTAGCTGGATCAAGACCTAATTGTCTAACATAACAGAACATAATGATCAGTGTTGGCCATTTATTTATTTGCATACATTATTTATATGCTCTCTTTCCAAGATGAACATTTACTGTAACATTGTAATGTTGAAATAGGATTAAGGGTACCATATCTTTTTCAATGAATCCGGCGACACTTTTCAACTTCCTACTAAATGGATTGAATTTGTCAGGGGACTGTTTTGTAAATCCGGGGACTGTCCCCGGGAAACGGGGACATTTGGTAACCTTAAATAAGAGAACAAGCCATGAGCTCATGAGTGTGCATGTACAGTATTCCTATCATCCAATGCTATGCAATTACTTTGCCAGAGCAGATGCTTGCAAGACAAGGCTGTTAAGAGTGAGAGCCAAGTGAAAACATTCAAGTGGATCTTGTTAGTACAAAAGAAAAACAAAACATGGCAGTCACTTACACTGTTGACAAAACCAATAAGCTGTGCTATGCTGTCGGTTACAATTTCTTTGCTTCCACCCAAAAAGTTGTACTGGAGAGAAAAACAGTTGCATGCATCATAGCAAAAATAAACAATAAAATAGACAATAGTTATGGCAGACTGCCAGTGTTGGCAACAGAACACTGGGTCATATGCAACTTGGTCTGAGACCTGAACCAAATGTTGGGCCGCCATATATGGAAAGGAGATGTGAAGTGCTTTGAATGCACTTAGAGCTCGCCTTTCAGTGCATGTGTGTCTGTAGGATAGCAGTGAATCAAACAACCTTAGCAGGGTGAGATGGTCTTCAGGGTCCTCAACAACCTCATGTCATGCTTGAATTGCAGTCTACTCCTAATATGCTAAGTGAGTATACAGTGTTATCTCATTTTATACTCAGTAGTAGCCCTGCAAACTAGATTAGACTGAGAGAAAATGGCTAGGCCAAGTTGACCCTATATGCCAAATTTCACCATCTAAGACCAACACTCTGTCCACTACACCAGCGGTTTCCAACCCATGTGCCATGGCACCCTGGGATGCCTAAAAGATGGCCAGGGGCGCCGAAGGCAACACTGGCCTCTGTCCCTCTTTCCTTCCCTCCCTCCTCTGATGCCCTCTTGCGTCTCTGCCTCCCAAAGGAGGAGTTGTTTGCTGCAGCAACCCTGGCTACAAGCTCCGCAGGTGAATGGTGCCTCTGAGGCTGGCCAGGGGATGCTGGTTGCCAGGAGCTGAGGTGGCCTCGGAGTAAGCAAGCAAGTGGGTGAAGGAGCCCAGCCAGCCAATCGACCAGCCCTTACTGTTGAGAGTGGATGAATAAGTAGGAAGCCAGGCAGGCAGGTGCATGCTGGCCTTTCTTGTGCTTGCTGTGTGCAATGCCTTCCTGGGAGCTGAGTGCCCAGTGCCAAAGGGAGCCTTTCCGCCCTGCAGGCCTGGCGCCACCCACGGCAGCCTCCCAAGGTGAGTATGGTGCTGGCCTCATGTTCACCTTTGGCCAATGTCCATTGGGTCGCTAAGGCTGGGGGCATCCTCTTCCCAGGGCCTCTTTGGGGTGGTTCAGAGACTAGAGGCAGTGGCGGCAGCTGCCTGGAGGACTCCCAAGAAGAGGAGGCTGAGGGAATACTCCACAAGGGAGGGTGTTTGAAAAGGGGTGAGAGGCTGTAGGCAAGGGGTGACATAACTTGGCTTCTGAGGCTTGGAGTGTGTTTCCCCACAGGGCAGCCGCAGAAAGAATGTACCGTATTTTTTGCTCTATAAGACTCACTTTTTCCCTCCTAAAAAGTAAGGGGAAATGTGTATGCGTCTTATGGAGCGAATGCAGGCTGCACAGCTGTCACAGAAGTCAGAACAGCAAGAGGGATTGCTGCTTTCACTGCGCAGTGATCCCTCTTGCTGTTCTGGCTTCTGAGATTCAGAATATTTTTTTTCTTATTTTCCTCCTCCAAAAACTAGGTGCGTCTTGTGGTCTGGTGCATCTTACAGAGCGAAAAATACGGTAGTTGGTCAAGGGAGCATGGACTCAAAAAGGTTGAAAACCTCTGCACAACACCATGCTGGTTCAATGAATAGCCCTTGTTAGCATTCCAAGAAGATGTATTTCTCGTGGTCAATAACTTACCAAACCCTTATCCAAAACGATATATATTTCTATGTATCTGTGTACTTTAGTGACATCTGACAGTGGCTGAGGAAAGACAAAATAAATCACATTTAGTAATATTTCTTGTATTTTGGTCCCTGGAGATTTTATAATGCAAAATGGGTTAACGTTAGCAGCAGATTACTAGAACAAAGCCTGCATCAATCTGCCCCACTGAAAAAAATCACTTCAAAAGTGGTGCATTTGTCCAGTTCACCTAACAGTGGCTCTCACTTTCCCAATTTATTCATCTACAGAAAATCTCTCCAGAATAGGCACCAATGCACTCAAGTCCCATTGCTGTCTAAGGGTTTCAGCAGAGGAGTGTGGTTAATGTTTAAAAAATCCAAAGCAGCATTCGGAAAATATGCACAGCTGTGCCCAGAAAGGTGTTTTGATACGGTTTAGCATTAGAGTTTGATGTTTGGAGGCAAGCAGGTATTGGTCACGACATGAAGATGAGAGTCAAGCAAGAGGCCATCAAGTCAACCTGATGGTATTATTATTTCTTACATTTATTCACCATTTACTAGATAAAATGTCTTAAGGTGTCTTAAAAAGGATACAAGTACAGATGTTTAAAACAAATATCAAAAAGAAAAATAAACTGGAAGTGTTCATTCTGCAATACTATAGAAAGGATAAATCCTATGCCACAGTACTAAGAGATGAACACCACAATCGGCTATACAATATGACCCCAATTAGGGATCAAATGCTTAGGTGAACAGGAACATTTCCCCCTGGCACCTAAAAGTTGAAAATGGTGGTGACATGTGTACCTCCCTGAAGACAGCATTCCACAACTGGGGAGTCACCTGTGAAAAGTCCCATTTTCAGGTTGCCACCACCTGCACTAGCCTCAGAGAAGGGCCTTGGGTGAGAAACACAGGCAGGTGGCTCAGGATGGCCCCACTCTGCTCTGTTGGGGATGGAATCGTTCTGGCGGCATCAGCACTGAGGGCTGGGCTGGCATCCCTCCGCCCAGTGCGCGTGCACCCTCCCCCCACCTGGCACATGCACACACACACCCCGGACGCCAGAAACCAATGCTATGCCACTGCCTTTTTATTTTCTTTTTAAAAAATTTATTTTCCATATCATGTGTACAGGTACATCACAGACATCCAGTGCAGGTAAGTTATGCAATGAGCATACAAAGGAAAATACACCTTTTTCCACCCTAGTAGCTATTGTCTATTTATTGCATTGCATCTGTATTGTAAGCCTACTAACCCAAGTTCTCAGGGAGGACTCCAAATAAAAAATGAATATTGATGGTAATCACTCCTAGAGGCCAGTCTAAGAAGGAAAGAAACCTCTTAGCACTTACCGCATTATCTGAGAGCAACTTATAAGGCATGCCCTCGCTCCCCAGTTGTCTTTCTGTAGATGGCAAATCTTCTCTCCTAAGTAGACTCTGGAGGTTTTTGTTGTTTATCTGATAAATCAGGTGCTCAAAATTAGCCGAGTCTTTCAAATGCTCAACTCCATAGCTGACATTCTCAAACTGCAACAGCCCTCTGGAAAAATAGCAAGTACTAGCCAAGGTTCAAGGAGACTATAGGAAAAGTGAGCTTAAAGGTAAAGGGACCCCTGACCATTAGGTCCAGTCGCGGACGACTCTGGGGTTGCGGTGCTCATCTCGCTTTATTGGCCGAGGGAGCCGGTGTACAGCTTCTGGGTCATGTGGCCAGCATGATTATGCCGCTTCTGGCAAACCAGATCAGTGCACGGAAACGCCATTTACCTTCCCGCCGGAGTGGTGCCTATTTATCTACTTGCACTTTGACGCAATTAGCTGCTTCTGCGCAGTGTCATTTTGAGCGTCTGCGCATGCGTGAGCGGCAAAACCAGGAAGTAATGTGCTCCGTTACTTCCGGGTCGCCACGGAGCGCAACCGGAAAATGCTCAACCTGAAGCTACTTCAACCCGAGGTATGAATGTATAGAGAAGGAAACGGCTGGCATAAGGGCTGCTGACTAATCCCTGGAGTCTGCTAGCCCTGTGTTTGGGGGCACAGGATCTTAGGCTGCTGGCCATCTCCTCCGGATACCTCATTGAGGCACAGGGGTATTTAGCTGTCTACTGGAATGCTTAAGCAGGGCCTCCACTTACGCTCAACCTGCATGTTTGTAAATAAGCTCAAATATTACAAAACACAAATTAAGTCTCCAGTGATTTCCTTCCAAAGGAAACCAAACCTGGGTAGGCACCACACCTGGGAACTTTCCACTGCTCAGAGAAGAGCAAATATACTGGGATGCTGCAAACTTCCACTGAAGAAAGTCAGGAGTGTGAAACACAAGGATGGGGATGGGAGAGACAGGACATATACTGCACGTACTTTTGTGTAACATCTGGTGCCTGGATTATGCCAGCGACAGGTTGCTGCTAGGCTTGACAGATAATTGACTTAGGCTGTTGAAATCTCTTACCTGAGCCCATGACAGGTGCTGAGTATTGCAACAGAGTTTGGGAACCCTTGTATGTATCCTTGATAGAAGCATTCACCCTAAAGTTGTTTTTTAAAATTAGAAAAAAGCAATTGACGCAGCATTTACACAATTGAAATTCTCTATCAACTAGGTGCACATGCAGTTTTTAACTCTCCCCCTCCTGCCGCACAGTTTCAATTCCCCCAGAATTGTGCTTCTAACCATCTTCTATCCATTCAAGTCGATGTGCCAATGATAGCTTGTCTTAGAAAGATAGAGCCTAGCCACAGTTATTTGTGCTGTTCATGGGAATTACTATTATCTATCAAATGTGTGCACTCCATCTGAGGATCACAGGGCAGTTTTCAATGTAAAAATACAAAAATAGATTATTGTAGTAACAAGCAAAAACAAAAACTACCACCCACTGTTTAAAAGGCCATAGATTGTTTAATCAGCCAAAGGCCTGGGAGAAGAGGAATATGTTCTTGCCTGGCCCCCAGAGATATGTAACAAGATGAGCCAGATGAGCCTTCCTGGGAGAGCATTCCATAAGCAGGGAGCCACCCCAGCCATTCTCATATTGCGGCCCTCTAGGTAAAGGTAAAGGACCCCTGGATGGAGACTATGGGATGTGGCGCTCAGCTTGCTTCAGGCTGAGGGAGCCGGCGTTTGTCTGCAGACAACTTTCTGGGTCATGTGGCCAGCATGACTAAACTGCTACTGGCACAACAGAAACATCGTGATGGAAGCCAGAGCGCACAGAAACGTCATTTACACTGCTTTTTACACTGCTTTTTTGGGGGTGGGGCAGAATCTTGCATGCAGGAATTTAGTAGAGTCATGGTACCCCACACACCCATAACAATATTGTATTGCCTCAAAATGCTGTACAGGGAGGTGATATATCTGACAAGTGGTGTACAAACACTTAAAATCAATCAATAAATGTCTGAAATGACATCCAAACGCAATTAAGAACCTTTACCTGAATATGTGGGGAACTGGGATTAACAAAGCCTCCTCGGTTGTACGTATAAACCCAAAAGTCATTGGGCAAAAATGTTCTGTGAAGAAAACAACAAAGTGATATTTACGTTGGCACTGCAAAAAGAATCACTGACTGCCCTCTGGGAAAAGTCTCATAGGGTTGGGTTGAAGAGGTAACTAATGAAGATCCCCTAGAACGCTGCACTTTGTCAGCTAGCAAGCTAAGGAACAGAAACAGGGGATGCTTCTGAAATATGCTGGCAGTGCTAAGTGGAGAGGTACAGCATTCATAAATACTAGTAGCAAACTGCCGATCACAATGATGGAGGCCGAGCTCTTTACTGCAGTGCTTCCCATAAGTGAGGCCCAGATCACCTTGGAAGGTTGTGGGCTCTCTCTTATTGGGGGTTTCTAAGCAGAGGGTGAATGGCCCTCTGTCGTGGATGCTTTAGCTGAGATCCCTGCACTGCAGGGGGTTGGACTAGATGACCCAAGAGTCCCATCCAACTCAACAATTCCATGATTCTGTGATTACACAGTGTCAGGGAATGGAGGGAAGGTTGTTCTGACCACAATGTTGTCTCCCTTTGCAGTGGTTTGCTTTTCTTCCCACTGGATTGAATGGAAATCCAAGGGTTGTTCTCAAGAGACACCATAGGGGGTGTTGAACTAAATATTTTATTTACTTTTGATGTCCTTGGCAATTAATAAGCAATGTAGTCTGAGTGTTATTTCTTTATTGCTATTATTATATTTGTTTTATACGAAACCAATAAAACACGTATTATTATTTTTAAGGAAAAAGAAAGAATCAAAGTAGTTGGTGTCCATATAGTCCTCTGCTGACTTCTGTTTCCAGGTCACACTAAAACATAACAGTATGTTGGAATTGTGGAATGACATTTTGGAAGACAGAAATAGGAATAACCGTATACATTATAATCCAGGCTGGCTCCAGAATTTGGGGGGAGGGCAGAATCTCACATGAACTTTGGGCCTTTCTCTCAGTACCCCTTACTGCCTTGTGGCGACTGCAGCCTTATCAGTACCCCTCCCTAAGATGGCTTGTCGCATATCATCTCTCTTTTCCTTTCAGTGCCTTTTAGATTCATCCATTTTTAATCACTGCTGGAATTTTCCCCACCATGCTGTTTTCTTGGGAAGTTCCATTGTTATGTATGTGTTGTCATTTTTTATTGTGTTACTACTACTACTACTACTACTACTACTACTACTATTACTACTGGGCTTCTTTGATCCCTTGTAAGCCATTCCGGGAACTTGCTGCTGAACAGTTTGAGTAAGATGCTTCCTAAGAAATAAACAAATCTTTTGTGGGGCGCTTTTGTCTAGAGCAGGCATAAACTGAGAATTCTCATACTGCCTCTGACCTTCTGGACAGTTCTGAGCAAAATAAGACCAGTGGCCCTGTCGAGGTAGTAGTGGCCCAATCTGATCACCTTCTGGAGCTAGCCATTATGGACGCCTGAAATCAAAATCAGGAGCAGATTAGTAAGTGGCCTGGGTCACGTGTCATGCTAAGACAAACCATGGTTCTCCAGGGTTTCAGATGGGGTCTCTGCCTAGAGACACTGGAGATTGAACTTGGAACCTTCTCCATGCTGGCACATGCTCTGCCACTGAGCTACAGCCTCCACATTGTGGGAAGGTTTACTTTAGCAGAGTTAAAGAATCCCCTTTATAAGTTTATGCAGCGATCAGCTTGTTGCTGGCTCATCTGAGTTCTACTAATAAAGATGCCTTCCTGGTTAAAAATAACACTATTTTACTCTTAGATTCATTCAGGTTTACAGAACTGGACCTGAAGGCAGGCTTAGGTTACATAACAAGCACATAAACTATACCAGAGGGAAGTTGGTCCTGAAGAGACTGCAACTGAGTAGTTATCTTTCAAAACTACCAGCAACCAACAAACTGGTTGTCACAGCAACCAGTTAGAACATAGAGGCCGTTCATCCTCTGTCAGAATGTTGCACTTGGCTGCAACTTTACATCCCACACCCAGAAGCCAAAGGGTTAAGACTAGGGGGTCACTTACTGTTGCTGCAGGTGAATTGTGTATATCTTCTTTTTTATTGTAATAATGTAAGTCTGTGTGCTCTGGACAATTCAAAAGAAAACAAAAAAATCAGTCAGAAGAGTATGTTGAAACAGTACTTTTACAAATGAAATGAACAGTCTCTATTGAAATGTATTTGATGACGGCAGAAAAGCTATGGCAGCGATTGGCTGAGCCTCTTTATCTCAGGAGGACTGCCTGAGAAGACCCTGAAAGGCCCTGCCTGGCCTCTTTCCAGCTGGCTTGGGGCGGGGCCTGTAGGGCTCTTAAGGATTGCTGCTGTTGCTGCTGCTGTTGTCCAGCGAGTGGCTGAGCCAGGGCTAACGACTGTCTGGTTCTGAAGTGCCCTCTCTGACTGCCTGAAGCCCAGACAGCCCCGTGGTTCTCCCCGGAGCTGAGGGCGATGAAACAATCACTGAGACAGCTAGAGTGCTGGTGGCAGAAACCTCATTTTGAATCAGACCACACATGGGTTAGAGGTCAGTGTTGAGCCTACCAAGTGGCGATGGCGAAGAGGACTTTCTTCACTGCCTCTATTGCATCTGCAGAAAATAGCAGAAGGAGACTCTTTCAGGTGGTTCATAATTTAACAGAACCACCTTTGTCATCGGGCCCTGATAAAGACCCCAAGATCTCCTGAAACGATTTTGCAAAGGCTTTTTTGCAGATAAAGTCGCTCAGATTTGGAAAGAGGTAGACTACACCATGGGAGCAAGGCCGGGGAGGGAGAGTGCTAGAGTCCTGTCTAGTCAAGTTCCTGAACAACTCCAGGCACGCCTGGAGGATGTGGACCATTTGGATCCCTTCCAATCAGGATTCAGGCCTCATCATGCAACTGAAACCATCTTGGTTATGCTGGTCGATGATCTCTGGCGGGCTAGGGACAAAGGTGAAAGCTGTTTCCTAGTTCTGCTGGATCTCTCAGCAGCCTTTGATACCATCAACCATGACATCCTTCTGGACCATCTAGAGGAGCTGGGAGCTGGGGGCACTGTTATATAGTGGTTCCGCTCCTTCCTCCTGAGCCATGTCCAGAAAGTGGTGTTGGGGGATGAGTGTTCAGATCCCTGGGCCCTCACTTGTGGGGTGCCTCAGGGTTCCGTCCTCTCCCCCATGCTTTTTAACATCTACATGAAGCCGCTGGGAGAGATCATCAGGGGGTTTGGGCTGGGTGCTCACCAGTATGCGGATGATACCCAGCTCTATATCTCTTTCAAATCGGAACCAGTGAAGGTGGTGAAGGTCCTGTGTGAGTGTCTGGAAGCGGTTGGAGCCAAAGATTCTTATGCACAACTGTATTTTTATGCACACATGAGGATCTCTGCTCATTCACTCACCTGGAGGACCCCAGGTGTGGAACATGTGCCCTGTTTGTGGGTTTCCCAGAGGTATCTAGTTGACTCCCATGGGAAGCAAGCTTGGGAATCACTGTGCAAAATATCATCCACTGAGTAGATGTTCACTCCATAGCACAAACTTTTGAATAAGTATATTTCTTAATTCCAAATACCTCATCTTCTCCAAGACCATCTTCAGTCATGTTGGATGGAATTTTCTTTGGAATTGTGATATCCAAAAAGGTTTGACAATCTGGAGAAGAAGAAAAATGCTAAGAAGTTAATCACCATTTAATGTCTATAAGGCGCAAATGTCACAGCACCGTAAGACACCTAAGAATAACATCCAATCACATTCAGTTGCACATTCTGAATTCGCTGAGAAATGGCTGAATCCCACATGAAAACAGTGAGTCTGGAAACACCCTTAATGATATGTGGCAGGCTACACCCACAACAAACTAGTCTGGAGAGGTCCTTAGATTATATTGCAGCCTGCTTGGGAGCAGGGGGCTGTCTCTCTAGAAATTCTATATACATTTATGTCATATAAATTAGGATTGCTAACCGAATAGAGACGTAGGAAAGACAAACCCTTGTGCCTTTATCAGTACCATTCTCCTTTTTTCTATTTTCCCCCATTTATTGAATTCTTACAACATATAATGACATTGTACACAAGTAATAAAATATCCCACCCTAACCCAGAAGGCAATGCATCCAAAATAATATCCAAATAACACAATAAATTCTTATCCCAGACTACCATTTGTATAGAAAACAATAAACAGTTTGTAAACCAAAAAGTTTTAGACTGTTTTCATTTCTAGCCATATGCATAACAAAGCTATAGCAATCTGTTACAAGAGAATTTATGTTTCAAACCTTATGCCAATTTTATTCATGTTGATTTTCCCACAAGTGCTATTTGCCATATCTGATTGTACTAATTTGTCAGAGATGCACCCTAGACCTTCTTTTAGCATCTCATTTTGAGCCACTATTAAAAGAAAACTTAGAGGTTTGAGCTGTAGATTAACAGCATCGCCAGTGAGAAGACTTGAGCAGCATCAGCTCTGGACATTTTGAGATATATTTTGACAAATACTTTCCTCCCAGAACTTTCCCACCACAAATATGCGTTGATATGAGCCTAACTCCCCACAACAGTTTGGTGAGCAGGAGGAACGAAAATGGGCTGATTGTACTGGTGTGAGGTACCATTTTTGCACTATTTTAAGTGCTACTTAAAATTTTAAGTGCTACTTACAGGGACGCAGGTGGCGCTGTGGGTTAAACCACAGAGCCTAGGACTTGCTGATCAGATGGTTGGCAGTTCGAATCCCCGTGACGGGGTGAGCTCCTGTTGCTCGGTCCCTGCTCCTGCCAACCTAGCAGTTTGAAAGCACGTCAAAGTGCAAGTAGATAAATAGGTACCGCTCCGGCGGGAAGGTAAATGGTGTTTCAGTGCGCTGCTCTGGTTCGCCAGAAGCGGCTTAGTCATGCTGGCCACATGACCCAGAAGCTGTATGCCAGATCCAATAAAGCGAGATGAGCGCCGCAACCCCAGAGTCGGTCACGACTGGACCTAATGGTCAGGGGTCCCTTTACCTTTACCTTTACTTTAAGGGCTACTTCTCCCTCAAGGGAGAAGGGCCCTGGGCCAGGGGTAGGTTCAATCCCTGACATTTCCAAGTAGGATTGGGAGAGATTCCTGCCTGAAATCCCAAAGAGCTGCTGTCAGTCAGTGTGGACAATACTGAGCTACATGGACCAATGGTTTGACTTGGTTAAGGCAGCTTCCTAGGTTCCAAGGCAGAGACAGATTTTAAAGGACATTTCCTCCACACTGAGGTTGACCCCTCTTCCTAGATAGTAATCTGACAACTGGATACCCACATCTGCCTTAACCATCTGCTGTACCCATCTCTATTAGGATGTGTTCTGTGTGCGGCTTCCCTCAGGACTGAGCTGGACTGTGTATGTGATAAAGGGGAGCCATACCGGGGTGAAGGCGTCTTCTTCTGTTTGTCCCCGTGTCAGTTTCAGTTTATTAGTTAATTTTTCTAGTAGAGCTGTTTCCCATACTATTTGGTACCATTGGTGCATGCTTACTCCTGACAGGTCTCTCCAGTGTCTGGTTATGGTGTTTCTGGCTGCTGAAAATAATCCACCAACAGCACACAAATCAATATGGCTAACCTGATCCAAAACACCCACCCACCTCACTCACACACGAAAACAAAGATCACCACAGCCAATCACACCCTAGGCCAACCCCAACCTCTCTCACCACCAAAGGAACACAAGTACAGTGGTGCCTCGCAAGACGAAAAGAATCCGTTCCGCGAGTCTCTTCGTCTTGCGGTTTTTTCGTCTTGCGAAGCAAGCCCATTAGTGGTTTAGCGGATTAGCGCTATTAACGGCTTAGCAGGCTTAGCGGATCAGCTGATAAGCGGCTTAGTGGCTTAACGGATCAGCTGTTAAGCGGCTTAGCGGATCAGCTGATAAGCGGTTTAGCGATCAGCTGTTAAGCGGCTTAGCGGATCAGCTGATAAGCGGCTTAGCGGCTTGGGAAAACGGGGGGGGGAGGAAAAAAACCCCGCAGGAACTCGCAAGACATTTTCGTCTTGCGAAGCAAGCCGATAGGAAATTCGTTTTGCGAAGCACCTCCAAAACGGAAAACCCTTTCGTCTAGCGGGTTTTCCGTCTTGCGAGGCATTCGTCTTGCGGGGCACCACTGTAACGCTGACACCAAACTCTACATACATTAAGCATAATAGAAACATCGCCACCCGACCCCACCCCCACCCATCTTCCCTCCCCCCAATCCCCCTTTCTTTTCCCTTTCTTTTTTTTTTTTACTTCTCCCCCTAATGCCTCAACAAATGAAATGGATTTGTTAAAATGTTACATGGGAAAAAAATACGAGGCATTACACTTACTTCTGTAAGAAAATCCTCAATAAAATATGTCAGAAGAGGACTGAGCTGGAAGCTGCAGTTAGGGCAGAATTCTGCAGTGCGATTGCTGACAGGAGGGAGGCCTGGTCAGCATGGAGTGCAGGTAAAGCCCTTAAAAAATAGGGACTCAGATTCAGGTAGGTAGCCGTGTTGGTCTGACGCAGTAGAAATATATATATATATATATATATATATATATATATATATAAAATATTGTCCAGTAGCACCTTAGAGAACAACTAAGTTTGTTCTTGATATGAGCTTTCGTGTGCATGCACACTTCTTCTTTTTTTTAAAAAAAAAATAGTATTTATTAAAATTTCACAAGAAAAAAAAGCCACATTAATGAAGAAAAAATTAACACACTTCTTCAGATAGGGACCCGTTTACCTGCAATACCTGCCCCACTGATCGTTTCGTGTGGCAGCACCTGCCCTTGGGAACTCCCTGCCTCTTGAGATCAAGCAGGCGCCTGCGCAACGCGTTCCTGCTCAGAGACGCTTAGAAAGCGGAGGCAATCCGTTTTCGTATTTTAACTTTTGTAGGTCTCCTCGGTGCTTTTATCTTTTTGTAAACCGCGTTGAGGGTTTTTAAACAGGCAGCGTGTTCATTTTTGATAGACAGCGAGGTGCTGGGGCCTTTCTCAACCTGGGGTCCCCCCATCATCCCCTAGCTAGCAGGCCCAGAGGACAGGGATGATGGAAGTTGGAGTCCAACAGCGCCTGAGGGCCGCAGCTTGGGCTTGTCCAGTCCGGGTCCCTAAACGGGGCGCGCGCGTGAGGGAGCCCGCCCTCACTCACCGAGGCCGGCGGCGAAGAGGAGCAGCGCCGCCGCCGCCGCTACCAGCTTCATGGTAGCGGTCTAACGGTCACTCTAACGGTCCCGCCTGGAACCGAGGCCCGCGCGGCGGCTGCGCGCGTCAAGGCCAGAGCTGAGGGGCGGCGAGGCTCTTGAGAGGGCCGCCCGGCCGCCCTCCTTTGCCGTGGCGGCGGCGGCGTGTTCCTTGGCGAGGAGGGCCGGGGATCCTCCGGGTCAGAGGGCGAAGGGACGGGGCCAGAGCTGGACTTCGACATTCCTTCCACGCGCTCGCTGACTCATTCACACGTGCGCGCGCGCGCACACGTGTCTTTTCTGCCAACCCCCAACCTGCAAGAATGCGGGGCCCATGTCAGAAGAGACCCAAGTGACCACCCGACACGCATCTCGAGTTCCGTGGGGTTGACCCCTGTGCCCACAAAGGGCAGCTAAATAGCGGTATTTCGGTATTTTATTGTTGTAAACCACCCCAAGAACTTTTCTCATTGCACGTCGTGTAAATATTCTGAATAAAACCAACTCGGAGCAGCACCCCGACTGAGGGAAGCATCACGCACACAAAGCAGATAGACAAACAGACACATATTCCCATGTAAACCAAATAGACGCATTCATAGAATCAGAGAGTTGGAAGAGACACCAAGGGCCATCGAGTCCAACCCCCTGCCAAGCAGGAAACACCATCAGAGCACTCCTGACATATGGTTGTCAAGCCTCTGCTTAAAGACCTCCAAAGAAGGAGACTCCACCCCACTCCTTGGCAGCAAATTCCACTGTCGAACAGCTCTTACTGTCAGGAAGTTCTTCCTAATGTTTAGGTGGAATCTTCTTTCTTGTAGTTTGGATCCAGTGCTCCGTGTCCGCTTCTCTGGAGCAGCAGAGAACTACCTTTCTCCCTCCTCTAGGTGACATCCTTTTATATATTTGAACATGGCTATCATATCACCCCTTAACCTCCTCTTCTCCAGGCTAAACATGCCCAGCTCCTTAGCCGCTCCTCATAAGGCCATCGCTTCCAGGCCTTTGACCATTTTGGCTGCCCTCGCTCTGACACGTTCGAGTTGGTCAGTGTCCTTCTTGAACTGTGGTGCCCAGAACTGGACACAGTACTCCAGGTGAGGTCGACCAGAGCAGAATACAGTGGCACTATTAGCTTCCTTGAGCTAGATGCTATACTCCTATTGATGCAGCCCAGAATTGCATTGGCTTTTTTAGCTGCCGCGTCACACTGTTGGCTCATTTCAAGTTTGTGGTCAACCAAGACTCCTAGATCCTTTTCGCATGTACTGCTCTCAAGCCAGGTGTCCCCCATCTTGTATTTCTCCCTGTTAAAATTCATCTTGTTTGTTTTGGCCCAGTTCTCTAATCTGTCAAGGTCGTTTTGAAGTGTGATCCTGTCCTCTGGGGTGTTAGCCACCCCTCCCAGTTTGGTGTCATCTGCAAATTTGATCAGGATGCCCTGAGTCCATCATCCAAGTCGTTGATAAGATGTTGAATAAGACCGGCCCAAGACAGAACTCTCGTGGCACCCCACTAGTCACTCTTCTCCAGGATGAAGAGGAACCATTGATGAGCACCCTTTGGGTTCGGTCAGTCAGCCAGTTACAAATCCACTGAGTGGTAGCATAGTCAAGACCACATTTTACCAGCTTCTTTACTTCCTATTGGGAAAGACGACGACGGGGCCCTCCTGATGCGTCCAGACCCCTGACTTTCTCTACTCGCCCTTCTTGCTGTTTTCTTTAAACCAGGCAGCACTGCAAAGCCTTTCACATACTCCTCAGTAATGAAGCACACTCCCATACCCCCAATTTAAAATAAAGGTTTATTCAGTGCATTTGACTTCAGCTCCCTGTTGCAGCATTGCTGAGAAACACACCAATAAAGTGTTTTGAGCACACTAGAAATGTGTACATGTTACTGAGTACCATTGTGTCAAAGAGCCAGCCTTTCCCATCCACCAGCAAATTTGTAGCTGGTTTCCAGACCTGAACAGTAAAAACTGATTGGTAAGTTTTAGCAGTGCAGTATACAGTTTAGCAAATATCAGGGAGACCACAATAGTTCAAGTATTTTATTATTGCAACTGCAGACATATATATGCAAACACTGTGAAAGACTTCTTTTTTGGCAAGAATTATGAAGAAATTTACCAAATAAGCATATGCTGAATATTTGCCAGCATGTGGGAATTATTCTTAGCATAATTTAATAAAAGTGTTTCATTCTCTGAAGCTATTGTAGCCGACGTATTTTTGTAACGGTCCATGCACATTATGAAATTCTGTTGTTCTCGCCATGCAACAATCTTCATCTGCTCTTCTTTTTAAATAGATTATCATGTCCACTCTGTGGCTGCGTGGTCTTTTCCTGGTTGCTTTGGTGAGGACCATGGTTGACCCCACCAACTCTTGATTCCGGGTGTAGGTTGGATTTGGCTTAGGCACTGGAGGCCTGGAGGAGGGCTGGCACATGCTGGAGTGGAGCCCAGGATTACTGGATCTGCCCCAAGACACAGGTCTACATGGATGACTGTGCCTTCTGTCAAAGAACAATCTTCATCTGCTCTTCTTTTTTAATAGATGACCATGTCCACTCGGTGGGTGCAGGGTCTATTCCTCTTTGCCACAGTGTGAACCAATGCTGAGGGAAGAAAGAAATGTGACCGTTATTACCGAGAGGTTTTGATGGGAATGGATGATGACCATCCACACCACGTCCCAAAAGCATAAAGCTGATGAAGAATAACGTGTTTCCAGAAAGAGGTCTGTTTAAACATATATACTCATGCAAATTTAAATAAGTGGCTTTGCTTATGCACCAGGAAGCGTCATATCTTCACTATGGGCATTGAATTGTTTTGTAATAGGTCCCAGAGCTTAAGAAAGGAACTGATCATCCTGAACACCAGGGATGGGGAACTCCAGCTCCCATAAGCCCCAAGCAGTATGACCTGAGATTATTTAATTTATACCCCACCCTTCAGCCTGAAGAATCCCAGGGTTGTATGCAACAATTCATAAAATAGTGCACGTAATAAAAGCAACAATACATAAAGTAACAATACATAAACAAAAGCAACAATACATAAATAAAAGCAACTACATAAAGTAGTAGTAGTAGTAATAGTAGTAGTAGTAGTAATAATAATAATAATAATAATAATAATAATAGAATGATGAGAGTTCATATTCAACAATATCTGGAAGGTCATAGGAACTCTTTGATAGCCTTAGAGTAACTGAAAGAGAACGACGTTTTAGTGTTGCATCTGATTAAAGAACTCCTCAATGCAAAAGAAAAGAAAAACAAAAGAAGGACACCTCAAGGCTCGCTCTTGCTGAGGTTCTGCTTCTTTCAGCAATGGGGCCTCCAGGAGGTGGAAGGAATGATATTACAGGTATGATGTCAGATTAAATGCAATAGGACAGCCTTTCTCAACCTTGGGACCCCAATACTGTTGGACTACAACTCCCATCACCCCTAACTAACTAGTGGTCAGGGATGCTGGGAGTTGGAGACCTACAGCCTCTGATGTGACGTGACCTTGCCACACCTTTATCAGCAGTTTCAACTATCTGCCTGGGGTCACCAGAAGGAATGGCAAATCTGCATGGAGACTTACTGTCTTCCTTTGTGTCTTACAGGGCGTTTCACAAGTTACCTGCCCATTATTTTCATCCGTGCCATTGCTGATGAAATTTTGGATTTGAGATTTGAGGCCACTTTTCTGGGGTAAACGGACAGTGAGGAATGTGCCTCTCTTCAAGAAAGCACATGTTGTGGTATTTATATGTGCAGAAGCTGCTCCAGGATTTTAAACATAGCACATTAGTTAGTATACTAAAGCATACAGTGATTTTTTATTTTAAAATGTTTAGGGGTACTCTCATTTTGACTCAAGAAATCACCATTTTATAGTTCAAATCAGGGAAAATAAATATAGTAAATGGACAAAAGTGCAAAGAACATACATTACCTGAGGCTAGATTCCAACTCCTACTTCACATATTAAACGCTCGCTTCTGTCTGAGTAGCAATGGTAGTGATGATTCACCATGATAGAGAAGAAAATAAAATGTTTAAAATGTTTAGTTTCTTCTCCCGTTAGATTCACAAAATGTTTAGGTCTACGCATACCCCTGCGTAACCCCCCCCCCGAAAAAAGCACTGAAAACATGCGTGCACACGCACACACACACACACACACACACACACAAGAGAACCTGGCAGATTTCTGAGATTTTACAGACTTATTCTGAGGCACATAGCAGTATAAAACAAACTCACAGTAAAACTCCCTCTCTGCACTTGATAACAGACCTAACTGAAAAAGAACATCCTAGGATTCCAGACTACATTAACTCTTTCCCTAACACATTTCCCCCAACCACATCTAGCCACTATCTGCAACTGCTGCAGCTCTTGCTATAGAATCCTGTACTGTTCTGTGTTTGTTATCTGAAGGGACACTTGATTTAGGATCAGGAGGTTGATAAAAAACCTCCATGGTTAGCAAAATAGAAAGCTGTCGCTGTCACTGGTCCATCTAACTTAGCCCTGTTTTCAATGACTGGCAACAGCTCTCCAGGGTTTCAGGTGTTGGAGATGCCAGGGACCAGTGTGTAAAGCCATGTGCTCTGCCATTGAATTATGAATGGGGATGGGGGGAGAAATAATGAGCAGCATCCATTTAAACCGTTTAACCTTTTATCTTCAATTTGAAACTCTGTTTCTCCCTCTTCTGTTGTCAGATGCCATAGGATATTTGTTGTTGACAACCTAATATGTTGTCATTTTCATATCTTCCTTTTCTGTAAAGGTAAAGGGGCCCCTGACCATTAGGTCCAGTCATGGCCGACTCTGGGGTTGCGGTCATCTCGCTTTATTGGACGAGGGAGCCGGCGTACAACTTCCGGGTCATGTGGCCAGCATGACTAAGCCGCTTCTGGCGAACCAGAGCAGCGCACGGAAACGCCATTTACCTTCCCGCCGGAGCGGTACCTATTTATCTACTTGCACTATGATGTGCTTTTGAACTGCTAGGTTGTCAGGAGCAGGGACTGAGTAACAGGAGCTCACCCTGTCATGGGGATTCGAACCGCCAACCTTCTGATCGGCAAGCCCTAGGCTCTGTGGTTTAAGCCACAGCGCCACCCGCGTCCCTTAAATCTTAAAACATGCTAATGTACCAAAGTTGATGGGCATTGCCATTCAAATGGTGTGTGTGTACCACGTCATGTGTTCTATCGCGCAGGGCAGGCTTTGCCTGCCTCCCCCCCAATATTTTATTCAAGTTGGCACCCCTGCTGCCAACACTTTCAGCTCCAACTCCTCTGCTGGCGCACAGAGGGCATTTCACTTGATTTAGCGAAACATGTATTTCATGCAAAATCTTTTGTTTGCAACTTCACTGTCATTCAGTTATGGGATGCTGGTGGGCATTGCTGGGAGTGCCACCTACCTGGGAGCCTTCGGGAATTACGACAAACTCCTGAAGATCAACACCACAGAGGACTGGAGAGAGGATATCAAGAAGGTCATGCTGCAGTCAGAGGTGGCCAACAAAAACACTGTGTTCTTTTTATGCGATAACCGAATAAAAGACGAGTCCTTTGTAGAGGACATTAACATGCTGTTGAACATGGGGGACGTGCCTAACATATTTGCAGCAGATGAGAGGGCCGACATGCCAGAAGTGGATACAATGACAAATTGCTATCCTGTGGACCTTCAAAAGCTTGATTTTTGAGCTTCACAAGTAAGTGTGGACTGGAACAGGTAGTTTATATGGAAACTTGTAACTGTTTTCATTATCTGCAGTATCCATTGCAAGCTCAGTCTTATTAACAGGGCTGTTCAAAGACAATGGCTGTGTACACACCATATGTTGAAAGCACATGACTTCCTCCAAAGAATCCTAGGAACTGTATCTTTCAGAGCTACAATTCCCAGCACCCTTAACAAACTACAGCTCCTGATTAGTTAGAAAGCAAAATCACTGGTCAATTCTTGTAGCTAATTGCACCCTAAAATGCTGATGGATTTTTGTCTTCATTTTTCCTCCCGTATCTGAAATTGATTAGGAAATGTGGTGAACTGAAGATTGGAACAGTAAGGAATTAATATCTTGATTATGTCCTCTACCTTGGTTGTCCTCTTTAGGTTGCAGTGATGCCAAAGGAGCTGACAGCTCTTCAACCAGAATTGACTCAGACCTCCGCAGAAAGGGAGAAAAGGATGATCCACATAGAAAAGGAAACCATTGAGGTTTCTGATGCCAAGAAGGAGCTTGTGGCGGCAGATGAGAAGGAAGCCAATGAAGCAGCAGCTATTGCTCAGGGGATTCACGTAAGTGGGCTGTGCAGCCTGGCGCTGCCTCCCCATCAGAGCTCATGTTTCCAACAGTGCAGCGTCCTAAATGAGAAATCCAAACTAAGAAAGGTTGAAAGAGCTATCAGCGATGTGCTGTTTCTGCCCCATCTGTGGTTTCCCTGGAGAAATGTATGCAATGCTGGTTCTTCTCAGAGTAGGCTCGTTGCAATTAAGGAACCCAAGTTAGTTCTGTCCTTTAATTTCAGTGAATCTGCTCTGAGTAGGACTACCATTGACTCCAGTCCTAAGGTTGCACCTCAAGTGTGGGAATGTTTATCAGCCCAAGGGCCACATCTCCTCCCGGGCAACCTTCTGAGGGCCACATGCTAGTGGTGGGCAGGCCAGAGACAGAAGTGGAAGGGGCGACAAATGCCCATTTTACCTTTTGTACAGCTGGCTGGTTTCTTCATATCCACACCCCATCCAGACAAGCAAGGGACATTGCCAGAGTTCATGGACACAGTCCAGTCAGACAAAAACAGTTGAGGGAGAAAGTGAGGGGGTGTTGCCAGAGGAGAGCTCTGAGGGCCAGAGGGAGGAAGAGAGGGTTCTCCATCCTCTGCTATGCAACTTACCTGAGAGTAAGCCCCATTGAACTCAGTAAGACTTAATAAATATGCACAGGGCTGCACTGTCAGCACAGGATGTGCCCTTCCTTGGTTGGTTTCTAACTAAAGAGCAGCGACATAAGAGGGGCCGGTCACACTGGGAACATGATGTTGCTGAGAGGGAATTCAACCACCCCTTGCCCCCCCCCCCAGATCTGATCTGCCTCCCCAGGACTGCTATTTACCCCAGAGCAGGGAGAAACTATTTCTTCCAAACACACATATGCTAAAAGTAACGTTGTTCTAAAACTGCTCCGCTTTTATGGGGTCACCAGAGAGTGAGTGTGATACAGTTAGAGTGTTAGACCGGGGCAACCAGGGTTCAAATCCCCACTGAGTTCTAAAACTCTTTGGGTGACCATGTGCCCGTTGCGCCAGGGAGTGCATTTGACAGGTGGGGACCAGCCACTGAGAGGGCCCTCAATCAATTCCAGTCAAGGCACATCCAGTGGCTGCAGCTGCAATAAGAAAGGAAAGGGTTGTTCTTGCAAAGTTCATGTTCCACTGGACTGTGCGGTAGCATCCTGACCGTGCTCTGTGAATATATTTGATGTGATTACAGGAGGAGTGCAAGGGGAACCTACCGGAACCAATGCCAGCCCTGGAAGCTGCTTTTTCGGCTCTCGATAACCTGAACCTGGCAAATACCTCATTTGTCAAATCCATGCAGAATCCACCAGGACCTATCAAGCTGGTCATGAAGCGCTTGAGAGAAAAGACAGAAAGAAAGCCTGATCCAAGTGGAAGCTGTAAAAACCAAACACAACAAAAAATCATTTATTTGGGGGGGGGGGTTGTCATGTGCTTCTTTGCTGATACTAAGCATTGTCATCATCTCACTTTATATTATATATTAAGATATTCAACCAGTAGACTTTAGTCCATATGGGCAAGTGGGGCACTGCCCCTCCAAGCTAAGCCTGTCCTTAGACAGCCCCCGCCTGCACCTGCTCCTCCTTAGCCCCAGTGTTGCTGTTATAAAACTCATCAGGAAGGAGGGGGAGGAGAAACCTAGAATTAGTTGACTCTGCCTATCACTGGCTCTACCTCCCCACCACTGTTGAGTCTCCTGCAGCTTGCCCTAAAAGTCCAATGGGCATCAGCCTCCCTTGCATTCAATGCAATTAAATGGACCATAGATACAATTGTTATGGGAAGTGAGTCATTATATTACCTTATCCATTTGCTTTGGTTTAAGAGTCACCTGGCTGCTCAAAAAACTATTTCGGGGTAAAAGGAGGGAGGTTGAAAATCTTCCAGATTTTTTTCATGAGATATTCTTATTTTGAAAATATTTTAATATGTATGTGTTTATGTGAAATTTCAGGTAGTTCCAAAAAGGCTTTAGGAGATCTGAAATTCCACACAGGCTTGAAGACTTATGACAAAGATAATATCCCACCAGCTTTAACTAAGAGAATTAGAGAGAAGTTCATCAACCATTCAGACTTTCAGACAGCTGTCATAAAGAATGTGTCATTCACCTGCGAAGGCTTGTGCAACGGGGTGAGAGCCATGGACGTGCACGACCGTGTCACAAAGGAGGCGCCCCCAAAACGTGAACAACTCAGGGAAGATGAAGGTTGTTCACTGCAGAAATGCAGAAGCTCAATACGAAGCGAGCAGAACTCAAGAAAGTGATGGACCGCCTCCAGGAACTGAAGGATGAACTTGAAGAACTTAATAACCAGAAGAAAGAACTTGAAAACAGCATTGACGAATGCTCTCTGAAGCTGGACAGGGCTGAAAAGCTGAACAGTGGCTTGGGAAGCAAGAAGGATAGTTGGACGGAAGCAACACACTTGCCAGGACTTCGGCACCCTGACCTCACTGGAGATGTCTTGTTATCTTCAGGGACGGTGGTAAAGGAAGCCTTTACTGTTGATTACCATACAGAATTTCAGAAGAAATGGCTGGTTTTGTGCAAGGAGGAGAAAGTCCCATGCTCTACTGTGGTGTAGTGGTTAAGAGCGGTAGACTCGTAATCTGGTGAACCGGGTTCGCGTCCCCGCTCCTCCACATGCAGCTGCTGGGCGACCTTGGGCTAGTCACACTTCTCTGAAGTCTCTCAGCCCCACTCACCTCACAGAGTGTTTGTTGTGGGGGAGGAAGGGAAAGGAGAATGTTAGCCGCTTTGAGACTCCTTTGGGTAGTGATAAAAGCGGGATATCAAATCCAAACTCCCCTTCTTCTTCTTCGTCGTCTTCTTCTTCTTCTTCTTCTTCTTCTTCTTCTTCTTCTTCTGATTTCAGCCTGAGTAGCAATTTAGCGGAACCAGTCAAGATCTGTGCCTGGCAGATTGCTGGGTTGCCAATTGATTCCTTTTCGATTGACAATGGCATCATTGTTTCCATCTCAAGACGAAGGGCTTTAATGATTGATCCTCAAGGACAAGCCAACAAGTGGGTCAAAAATATGGAAAAGGGCAATAAGCTTTCCGTTATCAAGTTGTCCGACACCAACTCTATAAGGACTTTGGAGTCCAATGTTGTGGAATACAAAATGATTTATGAGTCTGCCAAACTTCATGAAGAAGAGTTTTCCGTTGAATGGAATCTTTCACAGGTCTTGACTGCATGGTCATCTTCTGATGCCTGAGACCAGAGAAAATCATTCCCGCCACCCAACTGTTCATTGCAGTCAACATGGGGAAGATACATATCGAACCCCCAACATTTGATCTTGTTGGAAGTTGCTATGGTTCCAACTGCTACTCAGTTGTCATAGTTTCACAGAACAATGCCAGGAAATACGGCATCACAATAGATCACACTGGACTTGAATTTCAGGTAAGTAAAACCATTTCATTCCATGTTTAAGAGCTCCTGTATACTATGTAAAAATAATACTTGGTAACCTACAGGAGACATTCCTTGCCATGGCTAGCAACTAGCACTGGATAGAACCTTCCTTCCGCAAGACCTAGGCCATGTTTTAATACACCATCTCTTCTCTCCTTCCCCCACCCAATTTAGGGGATGATACAGGAGGCACAGTATGACTCAACTGCCTGAAGATGGAGCTTATGTGAAAGGGCTTTATCTGGAAGGGCCCTGTTGGGACAGGGAGACCATGCGGATTGGAGAGCCTTTTCCCAAAACTCTCTATGACTCCCTGCCCATCATTTGGCTGAAACCTGGCAAGGGTACCAAAATTCTACACAAGGGAATTTACCATATTCGAAACCAGTGCTGGGAGAGGCACACTGTCCACCAATGGCCAGTCCACCAATTACATCCCCTACATTGAGCTCACTTCTGATTTGTCCCAGAATCACTGGATCAATCAGGGCATAGTTTCGCTTTACCAGCTCGTCAACTAAATGGTTGATGACACATGCCTGCGCTTTCACATGTAAAAGCGCGGCTACAACCATCACCCCTTTAAAAACAAAGAAGCCTTAAGGTTGGGGCTACAACCATCGCCCCTTTGAAAATAAAGAAACCTTAAGGCTTGAGCAACTCGTTTGATTGCACATTCATTCTGATTTGTTTCCAGGGAGGTTAGACAGCAGTTGCATCTAAACCATACATTTATGTATGCATGTATGGTCAAGGTCATGGGTTCGAGCCCCTGCAATGCAGAATGTTGAACTCAAGTCCCTTCTAGCTCTATGTGACTTCATAATACACCCATTCTTGTGTAAGGTCTCCCTTGCCCTCTCCCTTCTGCCCCAGTTGTTCCTCTCCTTGTGGTTTTAGGCCCCATCTGCACCATACATTTAAAGCAATATCAAACCTATTTACACAGTCATGACTCCCCCTCTATAATCCTGGGAACTGTAGTTTATTAAGGGTGCTGAGAGGTTAGTTCCTCTTCCTTGGGAACTGGAGCTTGCAGCTCTGTGAGCACAGCTATTAGATTTGGGGCATATATTGACTGATCATGAAGTTTATTTAAGCCAGCCACCTTCATTTTTATTATTTTATTATTGATTTTTCTTGCTTTATGTTGCTGTTTGATGAGTCAGGATTCACACACACACACACACACACACACTTTTTGTTTATTTTGTATGGGACAGACAGTCACAGCAGCATAGAAAGCAGTAGGATAGATAAGGAACAACTTCAAAAGGGAAAGCTATTACAGTGGTGCCTCGCAAGACGAAATTAATTCGTTCCGTGAGTTTTTTCGTCTAGCGAATTTTTCATCTTGCGAAGCACAAAATCCCATAGGCATGCATTGAAATTCAATTAATGCGTTCCTATGGTCAAAAAAAGTCCAAACAAAGCCAAATTTGGTACAACAAGAGTTTATTAAGTGCTCTTTAAAGTCACACATACTGTAAAGAGCATTTCAAAAACTGAAGGAACAATAAATTCAAAAATTGAAGGAACAATAAAAATCAGAAAAATTCAGAAAAAAACCACACAAGCTTCCAGATTCTTGCAAACCCCTCCCCAACTGTTCCCCCAGCCACCCACCACACAGAAATTCAAATCCAGAATTTTTTTTAAAAAAACAGCAGTGTGGCACAATAGTCACAGAAAATCATAAAAATGCAGAAAAAAAAACACAGAAGCTTCCAGATTCTTGCAAACCCCTCCCCAACACCAAGTCCTTGAATTCCAAATACCCCAACCCAAAATCCAACCCCCCCAAAAAAAGTTTTAAAAGTTTAACTTACCAAATGGCTGCAAAAGAAGTTTTGGAAAAGCTTCAAAAATCACCAAAGTCTTCAAAAACCTCAAAAAAGACTACCACACCGCGTGCTATGAGTTGCTCCTCGAAGTCAAGTCGCAACTGCACCTCTTCAAGCAATGCACCCTGTATTACTGTAACGGTTTTAAGAAAAAGGAAACAAACTTGCAAGACGTTTTTGTCTTGTAAAGCAAGCCCATAGGGAAATTCGTCTTGCGAAGCAGTTCAAAAAATGCAAAACCCTTTCGTCTAGCGAGTTTTTCATCTTGCGAGGCATTCGTCTTGCGGGGCACCACTGTATTGTATTCAGTTGAACAGGAAGAAATGACTGAATTGGATGTAGAAGAAAGAAGAGGATGAGTCACAGATGACACATGGGCTGCATGTCTGAATAATCGTATCTTGAGAAGCACGGAAGACGTGCTGAAGGATGAAAAGACACATGGCAGAGTATCTGCTTCCAGGGAAATTGTCGTGTGCCAAGGTTGAAAAACTTGGAACGAGGGCTGCTTGGTTTGCCAATTCTATAGGAAGGCTGCCTTTGACCAGGTTAGAATGTATCTCTGCCTAACCCACTCTTACCTACTTTGACAGGCAGCAGCTCTCCATATGGGGGCTTCTCTCTTATCACTTGCAGATTGTCCCTGGAGACCTTCTGCATGCAAAGCTATGGTGAGCGATGATGTTCCCCAAATACCAGAGGACATATGGACTTGCCTAAAAACAAAGGCTGATGGATTTGATGGATAAGGCAATCAATGGCTGCTAGCCATGATGGCTGCGTTCTGCTCCACACTGCCAGAGGCAGTCTGCCACTCAATGGCAGCTGATGGGAATCACAAGTGGGGAGGATGCTGGGCCAAAGCCACTTCCAACCTCGGGAGGAGGTGGTGTTGTGGGCTTCATGCCCCCAACACTCGCGCAGAGGCTTGCTCCCAGCCCTGCGCGATCAGGGGAATCCTCTGCCGCATCATCCCCCGGGCCAGGGGGTGTGGCTTGCCGCATTTAAGGCAAGCGCGGCAGAGGCGCTTCCTCTTTGCCGCCGATCGGCTGGGGAATTTCCCACCCACCCACCCTTTAAGTTTTCTCCTTTGACCTTGCTATGGACTTCGGTTGGTTGCCGTTAAGGGGCCTGGTAGGATTTTTTTCCACTTGGCAAATTGGCACCAGCCATTTGTTTTTTTTTTGCCTACCTCGTAGCAAATCGTCACAACTTCCTCAGTTTGGCGGTTAGGCATTGGTATGGGTATTGTTATGTAGATGAATGGGGGGGAAGAATGCCATCACCTCCCCTGGTTAGTGAAGGGTAGTCCGGGAAAGGATTCTGGGGGGCGTGGCCACGTCTGAAGCCTATGGAGGCCAGGGCCCAAGGCACGCCCCCAAGCGGTGACCCTGGGGGAGTTCCTAATTGATGTGCATCAGCAGGGCTCCTCCTGCTGGTGTTAACCCTTCCTGGCCTTCAGGCAGACAGAATGAAGCCAGATAGTCGATTAGGACCAATGCCTAAGCCAATACCGCTCATCATCTGTAACCAATAAAGTTATGGCCAATTTTAGCCCATTAACCTAAATAATGGTGTCTTGTGTCTTTATTTCTACTGGTGGGAGGTGGGAACTCGCCACGCAATAGCCGATTGTGCACAGATGAACTATGGAAGACGCTGCGTTGTCAACCATTCAGTTTCATTGGCTGATTCCTTGTCTCTAGTATTATGAGAAGGAGAGAAACGTTTGCGTGTCGAGGTCCTCAAGACACCCTCAAATAAATTCACACTTCACACAGAATTTTTGTTTAATGTTTTTGGCATAATTTTGGCCACAACTTTATTAAAATACAAAATGTGAGTGGTTGCTTAGGCATTGGTTGTGACTATCTGTCCCCACCCAGGGACAGAACTGACACCCGCAAACCTGCGAAGTCAGTAAGGGAAAACATTTTGGGGGAGAGAATAGAGCTGGGTGCCAGACCCTGACCTCTCCCCAGATGCTCCCAGGGGCTCTTGCGTGGCCCTAGCCCCTTGACAGGGGTTCGGACAAGAGCATGATGAGCCCCTGGATTCTTTTAACGGAATTCCCTTGCAGCAGCAGCATTGGAGGGGCAGGCACCGCCAATCCTTACCCCTCCACCAACCAATTTTTAAAACCAATGCCTAACCGCAACCTTACAAGTTGTGACGATTTGCTACTCAGTATGCAAAAACCAAATGGCACCAGCCAATCAGCCAAATGGACAAAATTCCTACCAGGCCCCTGCCCCAAAAGCAGATGACCCCATGACAGGCACTGCAAGGTCAAATGCAAAAACCCTAAAATTAGGGAGGGTGGGAGGGTAATCCGATGCACGCAACGAAAAGAGGAAGCTCAATGCTGTGCATAGGGAATATATAACCTATGACTGTCAATCAATAATTGGCAACATCAAACTCTCCCCAACAACCAGAGGAGCCCAATCACAATGGTGGCCATCCAAACTAACCCACCCAGCAACAGAGAGGTGCTTTGTTAACCCCACCGCAACACGTGCTCTCCATGAAGGAGAACACGCTTCGTCCATGTCCATTTTCTCCTCGTGATGCATAATTGTATTCCCTTCTATTATGTCCTCGCTTTTTTGCCAAGTGAAAAAGCCCCAAATGCTGTAACCTTCACTCATGGGAGAAAACATCAACAAGGGAGACAGCGCACTTAAGTGTGGGGGTGGGAGGCACAAAACATACAGTGTGGGGAAACCAGCCTTGACCCCCCAAGGTGTGGGGAAACCCTGCAGTTTCTCCTTTTAGGAATGAGCTTTCTGCTGGGCTATACCTTCCAGCCTTCTCCTGTGGCAGCTTTAATTGCCGTATTTTTCGCTCCATAAGGTGCACCTGATGATAAGTCTTGATAGTTTTATTGCTTTATTGTTCGGCGCCCAGCCACGCTTCCCCTGGGAGCCTCTGTAGATCGTAAAGCAATTAGCAGAGTTACACAGCGGCGTGTGTCGAAAGAGCAGTAAATAAGTTCCAAACGTTTCTTCTGTCCTAATATCCCTTTATTGGCACAAAAGTAGTGTATTTACAAACTCCAACTTCCATCTGATTCAAGCTGCATCTTCTCCCTCTGCTTGCAGTGACGCAACAACCTGCTTTCGATTTTCACTCAGTACACAGCATTCCAAGCTGCTTTCGTCACGTCCTGGCTTACTTCCCTTGTAAGCGCCTCCTCTCAGGCTCGAGGCGCAGAAGGTTAACCCTTCACTACACCCAACAATAAGGCGCACCTAGTTTCTAGAAAAAAATAATTCAAGGGAAAAAAATTATTTAAAGGGAACGCTGAGCAGAGTCTGTATGCATCCCAGGCTCTGCTCAGCGCTCCCTTTCACAAGCCACGTGGAG